CTCAACTACTTCTCTGGAGTGTCTGCTGAAGTGTGAAATGATAGTCCGAGACCAAATTTTTAACTTTTGCAAAATGTCAGTTTTTGGTTGGAAAAACCCAACAGGCGCTTGTGAAAAAATCTCAATTTTGGGCATTTTTAGGCTATCTCCATTTTTGCTCCAAAATGTCAGATTACACATCTAGATTATGTATTCTACATCTACAGTGTCCATTCATGTGTAAAACAATTGTCTGGAACTCAAGGTGAAGTGGTAGGACACCAAAAGTTGTTGGAGAAATATCTTAGAAAATATGTTTTTTCCTCCTTTGCCTATCTCCTTTTTTGCCACCAGTTTGCTCCAAAATTCTCAACTTCTTCTCTGGAGTGTCTGCTGAAGTGTGAAATGATAGTCCGAGACCAAATTTTTAACTTTTGCAAAATGTCAGTTTTTGGTTGGAAAAACCCAACAGGCGCGCCTGTGAAAAAATCTCAATTTTTGGCATTTTTAGGCTATCTCCATTTTTGCTCCAAAATGTCAGATTACACATCTAGATTATCTACTCTACATCTACAGTGTCCATTCATGTGTAAAACAATTGTCTGGAACTCAAGGTGAAGTGGCAGGACACCAAAAGTTGTTGGAGAAATATCTTAGAAAATATGTTTTTTCCTCGTTTGCCTATCTCCTTTTCTGCCACCAGTTTGCTCCAAAATGCTCAACTACTTCTCTAAAGTGTCTGCTGAAGTGTGAAATGATAGTCTGAGACAAAATATTTAACTTTTGCAAAATGTCAGTTTTTGGTTGGAAAAACCTGACAGGCGCGCGCCTGTGAAAAAATCTCAATTTTGGGCATTTTTAGGCTATCTCCATTTTTGCTCCAAAATGTCAGATTACACATCTAGATTATCTACTCTACATCTACAGTGTCCATTCATGTGTAAAACAATTGTCTGGAACTCAAGGTGAAGTGGTAGGACACTAAAAGTTGTTGGAGAAATATCTTAGAAAATATGTTTTTTCCTCGTTTGCCTATCTCCTTTTCTGCCACCAGTTTGCTCCAAAATGCTCAACTACTTCTCTAGAGTATCTGCTGAAGTGTGAAATGATAGTCTGAGACAAAAAATTTAACTTTTGCAAAATGTCAGTTTTTAGTTGGAAAAATATATTTATTGGAAAAAGTATATTTAGGTGTTCCTTTCTCTGTACTTCTTGTTCAGGTTTTATACTGAGTCCAAGTTTTAGTTCTCTTGGGTCATTCAAGACAAAAAGTGTAACTGTTTTTCTGCTTCTTTCTCATATCTGCCATCATCAGTTTTCAATTCTGCCATCAAGCATTCTGGCGAGAAACAGTTTGGGATCCACTGCTTGATAGGCAGCAACAGCTACTGTCATTCCAAGTTGATGTAAAAACTCTTTAATGTCATCAATCCATTTTCTCCTAGTGTGACCTCTTACTTTTACATCAGATCTTTTCATGTGTAGCACCTGCGTTGTTAGTTGTTCTTGCTTCATTCTCATTTGATGACCAAACTGTCTAACCTTCTGTTTCTCAATGACTTTGCTGCATTATGTTTTTTTCACAGTCTGTCTGATAATATCATTTCTAACTTTGTCTCAGATAGTTAAGCTGACGGCTTTTATTAGGCATCTCATTTGACAGGTGTTAACTCTGCGCAGGTTAGTCTTTGATAATGTCCAAGTCTGACACTGGTAGCACAGTGTTAATATCTTTCATTATTTCCCAATCTTCTCACCTCCAAATTTTGAATGAATTATTAGAACAAATAACTAAGTCTTCAAAATGTTTATGCTCTTAATTCTTCTCTTATTCCTTCTTTCATCATCTGTTACAGATTATGCAAAATCTAATATTCCAAACAATGTACCCAACAAATTAGATTCTTACAACAAGCTACTTACAATTTGTGACACATTGTTGATAATGACAATATAGGACCAGGCTGATTTGAAGTTGAAGTCTCCCTCACTATATTTGTCAAACATTTCACAGATCCTGGGGAGACCCAAACAATACCAAAACAGTTGGATTCATGCGCAAGTTTACAACTCTCAGACTGACTAAAGTTAGTTGTGTGTCCTTTACAGGACGTTTCTTGGATCCTTTTTGTTTAATCCACTGAAGATGGCTTGAGTTTCATCTGGGGAGACCCAAACATTATCCAAACAGTATTTTCATATGGGAGTTTACAACTCTCAGACTGACTAAAGTTAGTTGTGTGTCCCCTACAGGATGTTTCTTGGATCCGTTGTGTTCAATCCATTGAAGATAGGTTGAGTTTCATCTGGTATCCCAAACAATGTTGAAACAGTATTTTCAGGTGCAAGTTTACAACTCTCAGACTGACTAAAGTTAGTTGTGAGTCCTTTACAGCACATTTCAGAAGCAACCCTGGCATGTTTAAGCTGTTTGTGGTTTCACTAGGAAAGTTTACCTTCAATAGTTTCACTGCACTGAACTGTCGGCTCTTGATACCACTGCTGAAACCAATTCAAAGTGGTCTGCTGCCAAACCTCCTGAGATCACACCCAGCACATCAGAGTTAAGAAGTGCAGTTGCAATGCTTAAGCCACAGTGACTAAACAAACTAAAACCGATATTTGCAAACAACATGATTTAAGCACAACTTAAATAATTGCATAACAAAAATTCATTGACTGTACTCTGTAAAGGCAAATACAAACCAACAAATAAGAGACTACCCATAATTAAAAATACTTACAAAGCAATAACTGTCATGGTAGGCCTGACAACTGTGTACTGTAAAACTCCATGTTTGCAGTGCTGGATAAACTTTCTTCAAAAAGAAATTTAAAACATCATCATGTATAGTACTTATTCAGGAAACAAGGAAGTGAAATGAGCATGTAAAAAACCTGGCTTCTTGGGTATTCTTTAAATCTGGGTCAATTTTCTAGGATACTTTGTGTTCGATCCATTGAAGATGTGTTGAGTTTGGTCAGAAGCTATTAAACTGATGACAAAATGTATGATGATAATTTTCTTCTTCTTCTTTTATCTACTCCTGGAATTCCTAACAGCATCAGGGCAGGAAGAGATCTCTAGATTTGCTCTTCTGTTTGCTTTGCATACAGTAATTTTCAGTGTCTTTGATATTCCCGCTGTCCATATTCTGTGTGGTCAACCTCTGGGTCTGTTACCACTTAATCTGTTTAACACTGCTCTCTGAGGCCAATTTGGTTACATGGCCAAACCATTTGATCTGTTGTCTACTGATAAAGTTCATTACTGTCAATAATTATTTAATAACTGTCGTCACATATTGTAAAACAAAAAAATGAATATCAAAGGAAACTATGACAGCAACACATTTCACCCAATCAGGTTCCCAACAGAAACTATGACAGCCACATATTCCAACCAGTCAAGTTCCTAAAAGACAATATGACAGCCTCACATTTCAACCAAGCACACTCCCCACAGAAACTATGACATCCATATATTTCAACCAATCAGGTTCTCCACAGAAACTGTGTTAGCCACATATTTAAACCAATCTGGTCTTCAAGTACTTACGATGAATATTGACAAGGAGGTAAAAGGCATAACGGAAATATATGTCCCACTGGGGGGTTGTTTTCAATCTGTAAAAAACAGAAATATCACAGACATATCATGAGAAAAAAAAAAACTCACATTTGATCTACACTCATTGAAGTAAAGAAAAGGAGTACAGATTGAAGGACACACTAGACCAGTTCCTTTCATGTCTATGTCCACTTCGCAGGAGCTCTGCAGTCGCTCTTGAAAAAAAAAAATAAACGCTGAATGAAATTAAAGATGAAGAAACAAAACTGACTGACTTAACTTTGGAAGAACTTTTATGCATGGCCAGGTTTTGACAATATCATGTATATTGATGGTAGTTAGGAATAAACTATTACAGTAAATTTAAGTGTTTAAAATATTATTTCACTACATGAACATTGTACAATAGTTTGCATATCTCTTTACTTAAAATTCCATTACTGTCTATCCGGCTCTCTCTCTCTCTCCTCTATAACTTTACTTCTAAACACCATTAACCGTGCAATGGAGTACATGCACGTGAGTTCAGACTTCCCTCAGGGTGTATTCAACGTCCGAAGCTCCTCTACAGCAACGACATTGTTGTCCTACAGGAAACACACCTCGGTGACGAGATGGTTAAAATTGCGGGCTTCCAATCCTTCTACAATAGACGGCACCTCGGACAGCTCATTCTTGTTCGTGACCACATACTGGTGTCTGAGGTGGACATGTCTGAGTGGGATAATGACGACCTACAAGTACACGCAGTCAGAGTGATGGGCCCGGCCCAGTTTGTGATTGTCAATGTGTACGCCTGCAATGGAAAGGTGGATACAGCGAAATGGCAGAGTTTGCTCCAGACTGAGGAAAAGAAAGTCCTTTACTGCGGAGATTTCAACGCCAGAGGAAACCAGTGGGGCAATGTAATTACCAATAAACAGGGGGAAGACCTGGAGGATGCTCTAGTGTCTGCCGATCTAGTATGCTTGAACGACGGAAAGGTTACCCGAATAGCAACCCGACAAGGGGATTCTGACAGCGTAATTGACCTGGCCCTAGTGTCTCCCTCCATTGCACCAGGATGCAGGTGGAGCACACTGGGATACCATGACAGTGATCACTTTCCGTGCGTCGTCCTGGTGGAGAAGAGCAACAACAAAGGTCATGTAATCAATGTGCCTGCTTTTATATATGACCGTACAGGGCAAGATGCCATTAGCAAAATCAGACGACGTAATACAAGAGCAGATCGCAGACGGCGGGAGAGATGGGCCCAGCCACCATGGTGGAATGAAGTAGTCAACATAGCGTGGCTAGAAAAAAGGAACGCTGTCAAGGCATGGCAAAAGGCAAGGAAAATTGATCTGTCACTTTCTGAACGCCTGATCAGTCTGAAAGATGAGGTCAACAAGCGGACAGTGGCTTTCAAGTTAATTGCGAAAGAAGCCAAGACAGCGAAATGGAACGAATTCTGCAAGAGCGTTTGCTCCGAGGGATCTCTTGTGACATTCTGGCGCCTTCAACGGAGCATGCACGGCGCCGCACGACCAAGGGGTATCCCTGATTTTCAGGGTACAGACCTGATATGGCAGAGAACTGATGCTGATAAAGGAAAAACCCTCCTTGCGCGCTACTTGGAGCAAACTGACCAAAAAGACGAAGCTGCAAGAATAGGGGTTAAGATGAAACTGTCGATGCTGTGCGAGAACACTGAGCTAGGCACTGATTTCACAATCACTGCAGACACCTTAAGAACTTGCCTCAAGAAATCGCGCAGCACTGCTCCAGGTCCTGACGGCATCCGATACAATGACATGCTGATGATGTCGAATGCTGATTTGAAAAGCGTGGCAAAGGAATTCAATATCAGCATCCAGAGTGGCCAGATACAAGAGGAATGGCTCCATAGTTATTTGTTTCCACTACCAAAGCCTAATAAAGACCACTCAAAGATCTGCGGCTACAGAATCATCTCGATGCAGAATACTGTTGGCAAACTTTTGGAAAAAATTGTCGCACAAAGATTGACCACCTACTTGGAACTACATGATAAGTTCCCACCAACACTTGGAGGGTACAGGTTAAATAAAGAGACATGGTCCAATGCTGCTGTTTTCGCCTACGATGTGTACGAGGGATTTCAGATTAAAGAAGAGACATGTGCGGCAGTGTTGGACTTAGAAGATGCCTACAATAAAGTACCATATGATTATTTAATGCAATTACTGCTTAAACTAGAAGTCAATCCTATTCTGATCCGCTGGATTGCTGCGGTCCTGTTCCAGAGAAAGATTGTACTAAGATGTGGTAGCTGGTCCTCAGAACCGCAAACGATATGTCCAGGCTTGCCACAGGGATCACCGCTATCACCAGTCTTATTCAATGCTTATACGGTGATGATCACTGAGCAGCAGTTGAATGGAAAGGGAAGGACTTTGTCATTTGCTGATGACATTTTGATTTATCGACGAGGGCGTGATAGACAGGAGATCGCCAGCACAATGCACAAAGAACTCGATCGAATTGCCGCCTGGTGTGATGGTTCCAATGCCTATGTCAATCCCTCGAAGGCATCAGTATCATGGTTCTCTTTGAACAATCACATTGTCAAGTCGGACTTACCAGAAGTGAAAATGCGTGATAATGTATTGATCAGAACCAACGTTATGACGTTTCTCGGGGTGAGGTTCGATCGCAGCTTGTCATTCAGGGAAAACGTTGACCATGCGATAACAAAAGCACGCAAAGGTCTATCTGCAATGAGGATTATGGCTGCTTCCAATATCGAGCAAAGACTGCTGGTGCTTCTATTCTATGGTCTGGTCCTTTCCCCCATTGAATACGCTCTGGCCATCCTCACTGTCAGTGCTACCCAGATTGAACGACTCGAGAAGGTGCAAAATGAAGCCATGCGTATTATTTTGGGATGTACAAGAGACACATCTTGTGGAGCAATGAGGTATCTACTTGACTTTCCAACAATGAACCAAAGGATCAGGATGTGGAGGGCTCGGGCATACCTCAAAATATGTGCTGATAAGAAACACCCACTGCATCAAGCGCTTTTTAGTGAAAAGGGCGACAGACTGAAGAGGGGAAAATCGTGGCTAGGTCGGGCAGAAGATGTTATTAGGCAAATATGCAGCCTAACCGACATCATACCTGGTGCAGAATGGATACCTGTGCCTCAGGCGTTTATTTGTACATTTTCCTGTATTGTCACACTCAACAGGCGATGTAGAGAAGATAATTCTGTTGCTGTTAATGCAGAGGTCAACGCTCTCATCGGTGAAAATTCAGACGAAGCAGATGCACTAATCTATACAGACGGATCAGTTATACGCCAAAGAAGAAGCGCATGGGCATTTACAGCACGCTCAGCGGGCAGAACAGTCAAAGAAGCCAACGGCGCCTTCTCCATGACAACCAGCAGCATGACGATGGAGGTGATGGCAGTGACGCAAGCGTTTGCCTGGCTTGAAACACAAAAATACACACCCGCATATGTATACTCAGTGATTCAATGAGTATGATCCGGAGGGTTCAGGCAGGTTCAGTGCGAAGACAATGGCTTGAATCAATTCAGAAGTCCACTGTGCGAGGAGTCACCTTTATTTTTGTTCCGGGACACGCAGGCGTCGATGGAAATGAAAGAGCTGACAGGTTGGCTGGATCCGCTATCACTACCGACGGTCGGCCTATGGATCATGCTGATATTATCAATGCCCTCAGAGAAATGGGAAGGATAGAGGACTTTGGTGGCAGTGAATCCACATCACTCGCCAGAATGGCAGACTTGGGAATTAAGATCGGCACAGCAAAAAACGAGACGCACACCGGACACGTCAGAAGACTTGTTAATCAACATAGAACTGGTACTATTAGCCATCGGACGTTGGGATTCATACTGAGGGGAGGATCTGAGCACCTATGGACATGTCCGGAGTGCAATGATGATAACCCAACTAACTAACTAACTAACTAACTAACTAACTTTTAAGAACTATGGTACAGTAAGTCTAAGAGGCTCCAGCAAAGAAAGTGAATCTAAGAAGTGCTGTGTGAGTCCAAATAGTTGGGAACCACTGCAGTAGACAATATAAAAACTAAAAGTCATCATAATGGTTTTTTCTTACTCTAAACCAAATAGTATTTCTGATTCTAAACCAAAAATTATTATTGACTCTAAAAAATTACCTAAAAACTGAACATTATCTCTGACTTTAAAACAAATATTCTGCTAAAAAAACATTATTTCTTTCTTTTTGAAGCAGACTGTAGCACTTATGAAAATGTCTGTGAAGCGTGATTCTTTATAAACCAAGTCAACCAAATGTTAATTCCCACAATTTGTTTACGCTAAAAAAATTATGAAACTAGTCATCACTTCTCACCTGTAGTGGCATGGAATTCATCATGATCTGAATATCGAGAGGGGTCTTTCCAACGGACGGTATCAGTTTAAACAATAAAATGGTTTGGAAAGAACATTACAGATAGTATGGTGCCAGAAGAAGAGGCAGCAGTCGACCAGCATAGTGGTGGAGACACGATACCAAGAATGCTGGGCATGAAAGTTCATGATGCGGTAAAGATGTCAGGGGATATAGTGGTTAAATGATGAGAGTAATGTTTTATAAAAAGTGTCTATACTTTTACTTTATTTCTTATCTGACTTACAGAGCATGTTGAGAAAGGTGGAGACAGGTATGCTGCGTGCAGAGTTGCAAGCACCACTTCAGAGGTCTCAGGTAGTTAGTATCCTTTTGATATTTTCTCCAGGGTATGCCAGTGTATTGGGAAATGAACAGGCAGATAGACAGGCCGGTTCTGCACCACTTTGTGGTGGACTGATGCATGACAAGCTAGATGTTGTGAGGACCCTCTGGAAGCGAGTGAAAAGTGCAGAAAAACAAATAGATCATTACAGTGTGAGAAGAATGGCGCTGCGAGGTGTTGCCAGGGGATCTGGCCGATGCTCAACATTCAAGGAAAAGGTGAGACCGATATACAATCAGACAGTTACTGGTGCCATCGGAATTGGAACTCTTTGTTTGCTGCTGAAGATAAGGACGGATTGCTTATGGGAGTATCCCGAGTGCTATGATGTCAATTCTCAATTTAACATTCAACATTAATTTCTTATCTAACTGAAAAAGTGGCGCTCTTCTGGAGATCTCTGAGAGTCAACACAGCAGTTAGGGAGATACATGCTTTCTCTTGGTGCACAAACAGTTGCTTTACAGAGACATGCCAAGCTATAAGCTATAAAATCCATGGCAATGAAGTTGCTTTTCTCAGCTCTAACCAACTATAAATACCATTTTTGAAAATCTAATTCTGTTCAATTTAGGCATTTATAACAATTTGTATCTCATTTATATTTTATATACATATGTTTTGATATTCCTGTCAGAGCCGGATTCTTTTTTCTTTCAAAAATGACCCTGGCTTCTAGGTCAACCCAGTACTGAGTGGGTACCAGGTAGAGGTATGGAAGGTAACGGTGGCTGGTATGATGTTGACCACATCATCCACCCAGTACTGAGTGGGTACCAGGTAGAGGTATGGAAGGTAACGGTGGCTGATATGATGCCAACCACATCATCCACCCAGTACTGAGTGGGTACTAGGTAGAGGTATGGAAGGTAACGGTGGCTGGTATGATGTTGACCACATCATCCACCCAGTACTGAGTGGGTACCAGGTAGAGGTATGGAAGGTAACGGTGGCTGGTATGATGCCGACCACATCATCCACCCAGTACTGAGTGGGTACAAGGTAGAGGTATGGAAGGTAACAATGGCTGGTATGATGCCGACCACATCATCCACTTAGTACTGAGTGGGTACCAGGTACAGGTATGGAAGGTAAAGGTGGCTGGTATGATGCCGACCACATCATCCACCCAGCACTGAGTGGGTACAAGGTAGAGGTATGGAAGGTAACGGTGGCTGGTATGATGCCGACAACATCGGCCCAATCTCTAGCCAGACAAAGCAACCTTGCTTTAGGTAATATTACCTTGGCTAGGAATTCCTTTCTCATGCCCATGTCATAATATTATCTCCTGCCCAGTCTGTAGAGGTGAGTAAAGGGGGAGATAACTTCGTATCACACCTGAGGTTGGCTCCCCTGAATCCGACCGTAGGGGCATAAAAGTTACATAACACAGACTAGTGGGGCCGTTTGATCAAACTAAATCAGGGGAATTAAGTGGTCTGGTAGATTTTTCTAGACAGGATGGCGTCCAGCATCTGAAGTTTCACACATGATAGTGAAATTCTCAAGAGAACAGATGTTTGGCAATTAGGAATGTTTAATCTTGGTCAAGGTCGTACTGTAGGCCATTCACTGTGAGCGACAGGCCCATTGATAGCTAGGTTGATCTGCTAGGTACCTCAGAGGCGGGGCTTAAGTCATCTCCTTGAGGGTTGGGTAGAACCTAGTAGAGGGTGGAGTTTAACCTTGCAGACAGATAGGGGTATTAATAAGACAAGCCCTGGAATTTCTGGCATAACCGCTGCCACAGGCAACAAACAGGTCGACCTTAGAGGTAATTCTAATGGTTTGATTCTAGTTTGGCGATTGCTGGAAGTTTCCAGCTCCCATGTGGGTGAGGATCAGTCTTTTCTACAAAAAATAAATAGAGGGTCATCACGGTCACGAGACTACATTGTGTTAGAACTCGGCCAGCTGGGAAACAGGTGGGAATCAGGGAACCAGGTGGAAGGACCAGGAGAACTGGGTGGAAAGATTGGAACAGCCAAGAAGGGACTCAATACGAGGACTCTCAGAGGTTCCACTTTCTAAAAAGTTATGTAACAAGTATTTATGTAACTAAACACCACCATTATCATTTACTCTTATCTTAGGGGCTCAGTTATCAAACTGAAGTATCCCATTACCACCATACCATCATTATTGACTAAAAATATAAAGAACTAAAATGATTATTAGGATAATAAATCAAGTATATGGTCTTATCCTGCATCAGTTTTTATAATTCCAAGTGTGTCTGTTCTTACACGTTTAATTAAACTGTTAAGATAGAATAGCATTTGGTGGGGGCTCATTAAATAATAATACAATTTCTTTACCAAGAGAAGGTCAACGGATTGGGTCAACTGCCCTGTCTAGTGAATCTTTCAAGATAATAATATATATAGACATCTAAAACCCATTTCCTTCTCTTGTGGATACCAAGTTCAGCTAAAGTTAATATAAATAACGAGCCAATATGGCTGTTTTCTTGGATATCCAGGACTTTGTCTGAGAGCAACATAGCCCAGATAATAGTTCAGTTAATCTGGTGGAGGGGATGTGTTGAGAGGAAAATCCCTACTCAGCATATAAATCATTTAAACCCAAACCCAGAGAACCCACGACCCGGGACGTCACACGAAAAGTGTTGTAATTTCCAAGGGAGTGGGCCGTAACGTCACAATCATCCACCCAGCACTGAGTGGGTACCAGGTAGAGGTATGGAAGGTAACGGTGGCTGGTATGATGTTGACCACATCATCCACCCAGTACTGAGTAGGTACCAGGTAGAGGTATGGAAGGTAACGGTGGCTGGTATGATGCCGACCACATCATCCACCCAGTACTGAGTGGGTACCAGGTACAATCATGGAAGGTAACGGTGGCTGGTATGATGCCGACCACATCATCCACCCAGTACTGAGTGGGTACCAGGTACAATCATGGAAGGTAACGGTGGCTGGTATGATGCCGACCACATCATCCACCCAGTGCTGAGTGGGTACCAGGTAGAGGTATGGAAGGTAACGGTTGCTGGTATGATGTTGACCACATCATCCACCCAGTACTGAGTGGGTACCAGGTAGAGGTATGGAAGGTAACGGTGGCTGGTATGATGCCGACCACATCATCCACCCAGTACTGAGTGGGTACCAGGTAGAGGTATGGAAGGTAACGGTGGCTGGTATAATGTTGACCACATCATCCACCCAGTACTGAGTAGGTACCAGGTAGAAGTATGGAAGGTAACGGTGGCTGGTATGATGCCGACCACATCATCCACCCAGTACTGACTGGTTTATAAAATATGGGTGTTGCCCTATACGCCCAATACACCTGAAAGTGGGGAAAATGGTCTTTTTTTAATTTATATTATTTTCTCAAATTTGACTCTTATATAAATTTATTACAGGACTGGCAAGGGAGTCGCTGTGGCCAACTGGCTAGATGCTCGCAGTGGATTGGAAGGTCGTGGGTTCGCTCCCTGGCGGAGCCGGACTATTTTCAAAAATGACCCTAGCTCCCAGGTCGAATCAGCCTTGGGTAGGTACGGGATGCAGTCCAGGGAAGTAAAGGCAGCCGGCGTGATGCTGACCACATCACCCATCTTGTGCCGATTGGTCTATAAAAATATAGGTCTAGCCCTATACGCCTAAAGACGCGGAAAAGGGTGCTTTACTGTGGGTTTTTTTTTAATAGGATTGGCAAGACAAATTCACTATTTGGCTATAAGATGAATTTTATTTGCAAAAGGATTAAAAATGTGATCTGCAAAGGGAAGTGTCTGATATGCAAAAGGATTAATTTGATTTTAAAAAGAGAGTGTCTGATTTGCAAAAGGATGAATTCCATTTGCACAATAATGTCTAATTGGCTAAAGGATGAATCTGATTTGCAAAAAGGTGAATTCGGCTTGCCGACCTGTATACAAAAATAAAAGTCACAATTATTTATTTAAAAGACAGACATAATCTGCTAGAATTTTAATTAAATAAGAGTGATAAGTCTTACCTATTTCACCTCTCCACCCACACACACACATATGCTATCACATACATGTATACTTACATGCACACACACATGCGCACACATGCTCACACACAGGTGTCACTTGCAGCTAGACCCACAAAACCCATTTGTTCTCTCACACATACCTGGATGTCTAGGTGCGGGTATTCGTGATTCAGAAAGGACAACAGGTACGCCATAAAGTTATAGATGACATATGCTTCGTAACATTCTCTCAGTGTGTCCAGGTAGATGGCAGCACCAGGAAAGCGCAGAGCAAACCACTGGGAACAAATCGAATGATAATGAGGTCAGACCTCTCCATATAGATGCACACACACACACACATATATATGCATTCACGTACCCATGGAGGCACACACACATGTGCACACATGCACACATATGCATGCACGTACCCATAGAGGCACACACACGTATGCACACATATGCCACTTGCCACTCTGCATGAAGCATGCCTGTCTCCACCTTTCCCAAAGTGCTCTGTGAGTCAGTTACAATCATGGCATATGTGTACAGCTGATTCTCAAGCTAGTGGAAGGCAGCAGTGACTGCCTCCACCTCCATTCTCAAACTAGATTTTGTTGCACTAAGTGCCTGACATCCATTTGCTATGAACCCCCATACATTTCGTCTGCCCCTCAATACAGAGCCATCTGTACAGATAGTCACATCACATGGGGCGGGAAATGTCAAGAATCATTTGTTGAACTTCTGATTCCGCGGCACAAGCTGGTCAGTCCCTGCACTTATGACCTAAATTGATAAGAACCCTACACAAGTCTGAAACACTTTGACCCCCTCATCTAGCCCAAATTTATCAAGCCTGCATACATGTCTTCTATTGTGTCTTCAGCTTGCGCCATCCAAGACATTCCTCTTTTCAGTCTGTGACCCGTAGCTCTACCCAGGGCTTTATGCAGGAAATGCTTCTTGACTGCAGCTACTCTGAGATGTTTTTGATTGCAGAACAGATCTGGGTTATAACTGGGATATAAAGTTATTTTTCTACTTCAATAATGGATATTTATGCTCACCAATTATGTTTTAATATGCAATATCACATAGCTTAGGTAGTAACTGTATACTATTGCAGGAGTATAAACTGTTGCATCCATTATTTTTTAATGCACTTTTAGATAATTACAGTAATTACAACCATTAACAAGACCTGCTGTGGTTAAGAACAAGTAAGACTGGCAAGACCTGCTGTGGTTAAGAACAAGTATGACTGGCAAGACCTGCTGTGGTTAAGAACAAGTATGACTGGCAAGACCTGCTGTGGTTAAGAACAAGTATGACTGGCAAGACCTGCCGTGGTTAAGAACAAGCATGACTGGCAAGACCTGCTGTGGTTAAGAACAAGTATGACTGGCAAGACTTGCTGTGGTTAAGAACAAGTATGACTGGCAAGACCTGCTGTGGTTAAGAACATGTATGACTGGCAAGACCTGCCGTGGTTAAGAACAAGCATGACTGGCAAGACCTGCTGTGGTTAAGAACAAGTATGACTGGCAAGACCTGCTGTGGTTAAGAACAAATATGACTGGCAAGACCTGCTGTGGTTAAGAACAAATATGTCTGGCAAGACTTGCTGTGTTTAAGAACAAGTATGACTGGCAAGACCCGCTGTGGTTAAGAACATGTATGACTGGCAAGACCTGCTGTGGTTAAGAACAAGTATGACTGGCAAGCCCTGTTGTCATTAACCCTACCAGACCGCTGGCCCTATTTTCCGGGAATTTCTTAACCTGACGCTATACAGCTGGCCCTAATTTTCGGCTATTTGCGTAGTACGGAAAAAAGATGCGTCATGGACTAAAAATAACTAGCCAACCGTAATCAGATCTCGTAGATAGTCTTCCTAGATGTCCGCCTGCATGTGTTTGGATAAAATTTGTTGTTTTACGTGAACAAATTCTGAAAATTCACAATAAAACAAGCGACTGATGAACCAAGCACTTTGATAGGAAAGTAAAGTAGGTCTAGACTTTTCACAGTCCAACAGGTGATCGACACTTCGGTTTATTCAGACTCTGCGGAGTTATTAATTCATGAAGAATATGTTCACAGTTGAAGTGACACATTCAGCTCAAATAATAAGGAGAATTTGAAAATTATAAATCTAGAAACAGATCGACAGTAAAAGAAGGGGGCGTGTCCCTCAAACAGCAAACATCTGGTGCTCACTTAGTGAAACAACCCTGATCCTCCTGAGTGGATTGGCACAGAAAGGTGGAATATTGACCTTAGATAAAAGATAGGCCTATTTTCTATAATGTCTCTGTTTCATCTTATTTTAGCCACTTGTTTGCATGTAACTAATATTTTTGTATATCATGTTGGTTGTTTCGCGTTAATGCCCATGAGCTCAGGTATAGGGGACAGTTAGGTTCAGGGCCTCAGGTCTGGTATGGTTAAGAACAAGTATGACTGGCAAAACCTTCTGTCATTAAGAAAAAGTATGTTTAGTCAAGTGCCATGACTGATGGCAAAAATTATAGCATAAGGCATGGTACCAGGAAGGAGAGGCAGGGGCTGACCAAAACGAAGATGGGCACAGGATATAAGTGACTCCTTGAGTATGAAAGTGCATTAGGGAGGAGAGCTGGCGAGAGATTGAGTTTCTTTCAGGCAGACCGTGATGAGAGCAACATTTTGCAAAAACCTGCTACATGATGATGATGACAAGTAAAACCTTCTGTCATTAGGAACAGCCTTCCATAGACAGAGTATTGGATTTCAGGACCACTTTTGCCATCACAGGTATTTAGTATGCTTCTACTCAGACGCCCAGCTCTCAACCGATTTGCAGTAATTTTCTTCTTTATCCCTGTTCCCTTCCCGATATTTCCTTCTCCATGCAACATGGTCAATGGATCATGACAAACACAGAAAGTGATAAACGAAATAAAAACAAAAAATGATGCAAACACTCACTGCATTTAAAGCATAGATCGGCACCATCCAGAGGATCCTTGGATGAGAAAATGTGAAACAATTTACAAATAGCAAAATTTAGCATCTGCACTGTTCAGTCATTGGCATGGAAGTAAGATGTCTAAGAAGGGCCGCAGCAGTGGCTAGAAAAGATGGGGGCAATGTTTGGTGACAATCATGTCACTGTAGCATAGGCTGGGTTTACTCTGGCCCTGACTCCTCACACCAGCTGGTCAGTCTGTCAAGATCCAGTTGCATCTTTGTATGGTCCTAACCAGGATTAGGTAGAGATGTGAGCTAACTGGAGCCAGCCAGTAGGAACTGATCTGTTCCTGATGCTGTTATTATATTAGTTGCACAATCTTGCAATCTCACTGTCATAATATAGATTGCTGCCTTACCACAGCTGTCTTACCATTGTTTATCATGGCTCACTGTCTTACCATACCTCAGTTTTACAAACCATACCTCACTGTCTTACCATACCTCACTGTCTTACCATAGCTCACTGTCTTACCCCAGCTCACTGTCTTACCATAGCTCACTGTCTTACCACAGATCACTGTCTTATCACAGCTCATGGTCTCACCACAGCTCATGGTCTTACATTAGCTCACTGTCTAGCCACAGGTCACTACCACAGCTCATGTCTCACCATAGCTTACTGTCTTACCACAGATCACTGTCTTATCACAGTTCATGGTCTTACATTAGCTCACTGTCTAGCCACAGGACATTACCACAGCTCATGTCTCACCATAGCTCACTGTCTTACCACAGGTCACTGTCTTACCATAGCTCATGGTCTCAATGTCGTAGAGCATTCAGTATATCACATCGTCCATGGCTCGTCCACCCTTTACAGCAGACTTACTTGCAAGTCTGTCAGCTGAGCTTGCTCGTTTTCTTTGTATGCCTAAGTGCCCTGGCATGAAAATTAAACTAGCCAACTGATCTTTCCATTGTCTACGGACCCAGCCCGTCTCTATCTTATTTGTTTATGTCATGTTAGTTACAGCTTACCTGATGATGTACCGCTGTAGATGCGGGGTTGTGTAGTTGATAACATGCTGGAGGATGCCCCAAAAAGAAATAGGCAATGCCATCAGGACAAACATACCACCCACAAACCAAGCCTGGACGTCAGGCGGGGCCCCATTCCTCTCCAGTTCCCAGATACACAGCGGCACGGCGATTACCAGCAGAACAATGTAGACTACAACAACCACAAAACGGATCCACTGTCGCCATAAACGTAGAAACGCGGAGCACTCCATTGTAACTTGTAAACAAGCTTATGTGATTTATAAAGCTTCTTGATCAGGCAGTGACGACACTTCTTTTGTTTTGATGCCTGGCCGCCATTTTCGTGTCATGTGACTCAGTCTCAGGTACCAAATGTTAACTCACCTGTTTTTGCCAGGTCCTGTCGTCAGGTTATCTTGTAACAGTTAGAGCCCCAATATAACCATTTTAGGACTGAACGAGTCTTAATAGGATTTGTAAATGTGGGATTCTCATCTTTAAAGTGGTAATCCTGTGCACTGCAATCCTGGAGGGAAAACTCTGAAAAAGCATCTCTCTCTCTCTCTCTCTCTCTCTCTCTCTCTCTCTCTCTCTCTCTCTCTCTCTCTCTCTCTCTCTCTCTCTCTGTCAGTTTTGATCTACGGCGTCCCTCTGATCAGGTACCAACTCCTCAAATGTTTCGTTCTCGGTCACATTTGCCTACAGCCAGGGCTTAGAGTTGTTGTTTTTTCCCTGGTCTGGGGTATCACAGTACTGGCAGAGGCGTCGGAACATGTGCTTTTTTTTTTTTGGTGGGGGTGGTGAAGAGCGCTAAGCTCCCCCCCCCCCCCACCCCTTTTTTTTTTTGTTTTTGTTGTTGCCTAAAAATGTTAACGGGGAGGGACAAGGGTGGTAGTTCCTGAAGGTTTATTCCAGCTTACGTGTTGGCTCACTCCTAATCTGCCTTGACCACATCAAGCTCACCGTGCATCAATTCACAGCTTCTCTCTGTCGGATAATAGATATTCATGATATGATCCTAGGCCAGTTAAAGTTTTTGAAACAGTGGCTTGAAATTCACGGGTAACAGCAGACACCGCGGGTATTGCAAGGTAGGTATGAGATCCACGCAGAGGGACCCATGGAAGTTTGATTCAGTAGCTCTTGGTCAGTGCATGGCCTACTTTAGATGGGGCATAGGGTTGTTCTGGTCAGCTGTAGAACGTGGGCCAACAAAACGTGTGTAGTTTTTCGGGGTTAAGGGAATAGTGGACCTGCGATTTGTACCTTGCTTTCTAATTACATTTCCGAAATAGGTTGTTATGAAGTGCCAGGTGTTATTAACTAAAGTAGGTCATGGTCAGTGAGATAGGACAAATGCATAAATGTGCTGTGTGACAGTTGGTCTTGGCAGTGTTTCATTTTGTTGGAGCGATTCGGCTGTAAAGTTGAATTTAGATTTCTGAAAGCTGCTAGTGAAGGCAGGTGTGCGAGATGTGATGGCGAGATCCAGATGCTTGACATGACAACGTTGTGATTTGGTTGTCTATACTTCACAAGAGTTAGTCGATAGATTATCGTCATCGTACCATTCAGTCCAAAAGTGCTCAGATACCCTCTTCAGTATCCCCCTCAGCGTGCAGTGGCTTGTGACACCAATTCTGTGTCGGTTTACTATTTTACTTTGGGCACCTGTGTAGCGCTATTGTCTGACTTTATCCATTTTTGTGTTATGTTCGTGTAGTCTCGTCAATGTTGCAGATTCCCAAACATAATTTGATTGGTTTAATCGAGCCGCCTCTCTGAGGGCATTCAGTATATCAGCTCTATACGTTGCTCGTCTTTTGCCACGTGAGCATCATTTGCAAGCCTGTCAACTCGTTCATTGTTTTTTACACCAGAATGATCCAGAACAAATATGAAACTGTTTGTTGTCAGCTTATATCTATTTAGGGACTTCACCCATTGTCTTCGTATGCAACCCTTGTCGATCTTTTTGAGCATATTTATTGAGTCGGTGAGAAAGCATGCCCAGGTGAACGTTTTGTTCCTAGCCAGGCTATTGCTTTAGTTGTTGTCAAACCTCCACTGTCAAACTGCTTGCCGTCGAGGTAAAGGCACCGCCGTCTTGTTTGACCGTTCTCCCCCTGACCTAAGCCATAAATGACTACGATCTTATGACTGACCCGTCTCTGTAGATTATCACATCGCCCTCAGAAGAATTCTCACATATCAAATCCAGCACTTCTGCTTCCACGACTGCTGGGTTTGTTGTAAGCATTCTCTGTTAAGCTTGATGCATACTTAAAAGGGCGTATGACACTCTGGTGGTACACGAACCCATTCCTCCCCAAGTTCTATGTCCTCAAGTGGACAAACACCTTGTCTTCTTACCATAGATCACTGTCTCACTGGGGTAGAGCATTTAGTATATCACATCGTTCAAGGCTCGTCCACCCTTCACGGCAGCCTTACTTGCAAGCCTGTCAGTTGCTCATTTCCTTGCACGCCTCAGAGCCCTGGCACGAAAATTAAATTGATCTTTCCAGCCCCAACCGCCTCAGAGACAGAAGAGTTGGTCAGTACTATTGTGCTGTTTATGTAATAATGAGGGTATTTTTTTGGTGTGCTTTTTAGCAGCACCACCTTTGTTTGCTTCCACGCAAGTCAGCCCCGCTTATACAGTGATATTTTAGATTCTAGACTGTATTTGACTACAGGAATTGGCATAAATGGATTTATTATAGACGGTACAAGAAACGTTTTCTGCCTCAAACAAAACACTGGTTGACCTTGACACACGCTAATCTATGAGTGACCAGTGACAGTGCATATATTATAGCCTTATCTACTTCAAGTACGACATGAATTTACTTCAAACCATGCAACGTAGGCTGTAGTCTCTTATGGGATGTAGGCTGAGGCTGTGTAGTAGGGGGTTAATGTTTGGTCTAGGTCTAGATGTTCTGGGGTTGTTAGAAGTGGTCACATCATGTAATACAGAATACGTGACATTGCCGGTGACATCATATCAAGAGTGGGCACATAGCCAAATGAGTTTATTATAGATTATAGGTGATCCCAAGAATGGGCCACATAGCCAAATGAGTTTATTATAGATTATAGGTGACCCCAAGAGTGGGCACATAGCCAAATGAGTTTATTATAGATTATAGATGACCCCAAGAATGGAATTACTAAATGAACTGTTTTTTTCTGAAGACCAGGCAATCATAGCACCAACAGCTAGAATATAATAGACTTCACTCAGCATATGACAACTGTGATATGAAGACCAATATAGAAAAAACAGAAGTAATCACATTCTCCAGAAAAGGAAGAACCAAAAAGTTTGACATTGATAACATCAGTTAAAGAAGATCGAGGACTTTACATATCTGGGGAGAATTTTTTCAGAAAACGGAGGAATTAATAAAGAAATCCAACAAAAATGCAATAAAGCAAATCAAGTTATAGGCCAAACTGCACCAATTCTGAAATTCAAGCATGTGAATATGAAAACTAAAAGAGCACTGTTAAACAGAATATTCTTACCAACGCTATGCTATCAATGTCAAATAAGGACACTATCTTGAGGAGACAGAAGGAAAATAGTCACGATAAACATGAAATGTTTATGTACTATGCTAGGCAAGATTTTATTAGGAATGATGATATCAGAAGGAAAGTTGGCACAGAACATTTTATTAGGAATGATGATATCAGAAGGAAAGTTGGCACAGAACATTTTATTAGGAATGATGACATCAGAAGGAAAGTTGGCACAGAACATTTTATTAGGAATGATGATATCAGAAGGAAAGTTGGCACAGAACATTTTATTAGGAATGATGATATCAGAAGGAAAGTTGGCACAGAACCAATACTGAACTTTATCAGTAGACAACAGATCAAATGGTTTGGTCATGCAACAAGACTGGCATCAGACAGGGCACATCAGAGAGCAGTTATACAGATACAAATGAAACAGAGCCAGAGGTTGACCACACAGATTATGGACCACAGAAATAGCAGGGACAACTAAAAATTACAATATATGAAGCAAACAGATTGGCTCATTCCAGGGATCTCTGCCTCCCCTGATGCTGCAAGACATTCCTGAAAGAAGAAAGAAGACAAAGGCAGGTGACCCCAGAAGTGGGCACAAAGTCAAATGTGTTTATTATAAGCTATAGGTAATCATAGAGCATTTTTCTGGCATTTTTCTTATATAACCTTTGCTAGCTAGCGTAGTTGGTTAAACTTGACTTCGCAGCGACCGGATGACGAAGTCTTTATGGTCCAGGTTCAGGTCCTGGGGTAGGCAGAAAAGCCACATTTCTCCCAGATTTTCGGTTTCTATCATGGAATCAAGGCCAAAGGGTTGGGATATCCATAGAATTGAGCCAAAGGGATAACAACTCATGGTTTCCGGATATTAAAGAAGAAAAAAGAAATAAGAAAAACTCTGCGCTTTGATATGAAGATTTAAATTAAAAAAAACATTTATACCTCACGAGCGATTCTCATATAATGCATACTAGAGTAATGTGCACATCAACTCTCACTTCCACACACATCAATCCACACTTCCACACACACACATCAACTCTCACTACACAAACACCAACCCTCACACTACCATACCTATCTCTGTATGACCACAACATTAAACCTATGTGTAAAATACAAAACAAATTTATTCAATCAAAAAGCTGATGGCTGAGCCATCCATCTGACAGAACAGACTCAAGACATCCTTGGCTGCAACATTCTGCATCTGTGAGGGAAGGGACATAACGGCCGCTTGATTCCAGTGATGACTTGAATCACTAGTGCTGATACAGCAGGATGGGGACAGATGCAGGTCAAACCAGTAGACAAGTGCTGTCACTTGGCCAGATTGGATGACAGGCACCTGAAATCATGGGAACAAAGATAATAATAAAGTTAGCATTTACATTCAGTTACACTGTACTGTCGGTTCTGTGGCTAAGTCTATGCCGGGATGCCGGGTTCAATCCCAGCTGCGGGCAATGTGCCTTGCGTTGGTTTTGACAGTGGTATCAAGAAAGCTGACCGTCCAGAAAGCAATGGCAAACTACTGGACATAAATTTGGCTAGAAAAACCACACAACAGCCAGGGGCTGTTGGGGTTGGTTCTGCAACCTCATGTAAAGGACACGCAACTAACCTACACTGTACTGTTTGCACAGAAAAAAGGGAATCAAAGTACGATGGAACCACTAATGTGCAGCTTTGGGAGAGAACTAAACAAATTTCCTAAATCAAGAGTTGAAGAAAAAACAGTGGTGCCGGAAAGGACACACACTGAGAACATTTGAGAACAATGTAACTAGAATCTGTTGCAGTAGAAACCATAGGGGCAGAGAAATAAAAGCAGCCAACAAAAAGAACAAAAAAGGAAAAAGAAGAAGAGAGCTAGAGAGTGAAGTTAAAAAGATGAAGAGGACACCGGATCTGAATACCTACAGACATATCTGAATGCTGTGAGAATAATCTCCTCATAGATCAAAGTGATCTCCCCTGCAGTGAGAGAGAAAAACTGGTTAAATGCTATTTATAACCTGAACTATTATGTGTTTATTTTTATCCAATGGATCAACATCATGGCACACGGGTGTAACCCATAAGTGCTCCGTTCTACTTCTAACTCAAGCATGAGTCTGAAGAATCTCAGCGCAGTGCACGAACTCTGTAGCACCGGTGAGGATCCTGAAATACTTTGGGTAGATTTTTAACTCCAAATTTTTGCCTGGGCAGTGTTGTTAGGCTGCTCTTTTCAATTTCCAACTGCCAAGGGATTTTTTTTTTACATACGTAAGAATACTACCCAGAGACCAGGCAAAATTACTAGAAGTCCATGTGAAAAAATCACACAATTATGTGTACAAGAAACATGGATATTAAGAAGACAAGCTCAAAAATATATACTCACAGTGAAAATAAGCTTCTGAGAAACATGCAAAGCATTTCATAGATTGCAAATAACAAACATATGAGGTTATGATGATAACAAAAAAGATGATGACAATGATGATATGAATAATAAAGACAATGATGATAACAAGTGATAATGTGAACAATGATAACAATGATGATGTGAACAAGGATAATAACAATGATAAGGTGAAAAATGATAATGATAATGTGAACAATGCTAACAACTGTGATGATGTGAACAATGATAACAACAACGATAATGTGAACAATGATAACAACAACGATAATGTGAACAATGATAACAACAGTGATAATGGGAACAATGATAACAACAATGATGATGTGAACTATGATAACAACAATGATAATGTGAACAATGATAATAATGATGTGGACAATGATAACAATGGTGGTGATGTGAACAATGATAATGATGATGTGAACAATGATGATAATGTGAACAATGATAAGGCTAACAATGATGACAATTATGGTGATAACAACAATGACAATAATAATGATGATTATAGCAATGATGATGATAAAGTGATAACTATAATATTGATGATAACAAAGATTACGATAATAATGATGATGATGAAGATGGTGATAATGAAATCACAAAAATTATGATATTATTGATGGCAACAAAGACTGTGACAATAAAGATAACAAAATTAATGATAATAATGAAGATGATAACAATAACACAGTACCTTCAAATGAACTGACTGAGCCAATTCTCCATTTTCTTCATTCACATCATTGCCAAGGAAAGCATTAGATCCCTCATCTCCATCAACAGCCAGTCTTCCACGTTTTCTGTCCGGACTGCTCCCACCTACTGCTCCGTCCTGCTCTACAAGCTGGCAATTGGATGACCTCTTCTTGTTCCTCACTGAATCACATTCTAGAACAGACAATCTTGAACCCTCAGCCTTCCCTTTCAAACATGCAGTCTTCAACGTTTCCTTAGAAATAAACTGCTGTGTAGTGTATTCCCTCTTGCCCACACACTCAGAGACCAGCTTTGTGTCTCCAACACCAGCTAACATTCCTTCACTAACTGGTTCTTGTTTTGCATGTTTCGATACAAGGATTTCACTTGTATCATTCTGATGCAATATATGTTGCCCTTTACTGCAATCAAGATTTCTTTCCATCTCACAACTTGATGCTGCTCTCAGTTGTGAGGTAGTTGTGCAGACATCTTCAGACTTTACCAACAAAGCATACTCTGCAGCAAAACCTATATTTTGTGCTGATGTACAACTGACAGTGTCTGCCTCAGGGTCAACAAGTTGATGCTTATGACCACGCTGGGGACCTGCAAGTAAGCTACAGTCTCTGTGTCTGGAGGAAGGGCATGCTGATATCTGGCCTTGCTGGTGAGCTTCAGGACACTCATCTGATGCTTCTTTAGTCACTGTACTTAGCTCAGCAGCTGTGCCTGGTTGGGGAACTCCCAACAGTTTATACATGTCAATGGTAAACAACCTAAAAGGCTCTGACAGTTTTGTGTGGGGAAGAGTTTCTAGTGAGATGTCCTGGTGATTTCTCGTCTGAAAAACAAAGAATTAGCAGTTAATCAGTCTAGTGCAATTACTCATCAGAATGAAACAAAGAAAACATTGGAAAAGCAAAAAGGGGGGGGGGGGGGGGGGGGGGGGGTGGGGTGTCCTAAAAAAAAAAAATTTAAAAAAAAAAAAAAAAAAAGAGACCTCATCGTATGTTCAAATTGCTTCATCTTATTCTTCTTCTTAGTATTCATTGGCTATATATTCTGCAGAAAGTTCTGGTTGTTACTCTACCTCTGGACTTTAATTTTATTCCAGAACATGAGTTTTGTGTGCACATCAGTAAAACTGATATGGCTCATTTGTACGCAGACTGTTAGTTCCTTGCCTCTTGGGCAGATGCACTCCACCTTCGAAGAAAACACCCACAATTAGTAGATTTTTACAACATGTCTGTTAAGAAGACCGTAGGTCAGTTCCCCCCCCCCCCCCCTCACCCACAGAAGGAGATCATGGAACCCACGCAGAGAATCTGATATTTAAAAAAGGAGCACATCCAATAAGCCATTCTGCAGGTGAAATTACAAAATAAGAATATCTACCCAGAAAAGACCATTTATAAAATGTTCAATTCTGGCATACATGCATTTAGATCATTACTGGTGCTAGCGATTAGGACCAATAAATAAAAACACTAAATAAAGAAGGATAACTTAATTGGTATGGTCAAAATGTTACCCGAACCGAGGCAAATCAGCATAAATTATATATTTTTCACATTATGTACAATCACTATACAAAAGCAGATTGAGATTTTGTATTTTATGTACAATTTTTATAACCCATTTATATAAATACAGTGATAAAACAACAACAAAATTTGTCTTGCAACCAGTTTGACTTATGACCTGTTAGTGCAAACAGAATTTGGTTGTAACCCGAGGAGACCCTGTATGTGTTTTCAATTAAAGTGGGATGCAGAGGTGAACCACCACTACCTGCAGTGGGGCACCAGCATCAGTGCTCAAACATCCTATCTACACCTCCTCGCAGTCATACTAAATATTTATCAGGTGATTCATACAATGACTCCATGACCTCTATCACTATGATGTAGGTAAATTTTACCTCAACTTGGCTTTAAACAAGCCACTGGGTTCAAAAGGACCCCCATGCTATTTTTAGTTAATATAATCATATCTGAGCCTCCTTAACACTGTAGAGGATCAAACAGAACTAATGGCATTTAACTACGCTTTTTTGGGAACAGGTCACTGCAGAAATGCTGATACACTAGCATTTACAGGAAATCAGCTGCAACCAGAAGTAACTATTTAGTCTTCTCAGAGCGATAGTTTGTTAACTACCTCCCTCATGCATGCACACATGCATGCGTATGCGCATACACACACACACAAAACAACATTTCTAACCGTATATTTGTTAATGAACTGGCTGATGTGGAAGCCCAAAGTGTTGTCATCGGAACGAACACGACTCAGACTCAGCAAGTACTCTGAGTCAACTAAGACACCGCACACGTCTACACGGCAGGGGCTCACAGCTGCCCTCACATAGCTGGAGACATGGTGTCTAGAGGGATAACAACACACATAAATTAACTGAATATGTACCTAGCCCCTTGTTTTAATGCTGTAAAAGTCTGAACAAACAAATTTTAATTTCAAAACATCATAAAATTAGGCACACAAGCTTACTTGTCGCACATGTGGCCCTTTCAACCACTCATCTTTCACACTGACACTCTATTTTATTCACCCTATGTGGATTCTGGGGAGTCCCCGTGGTGTCGCAGCTAGATGCTTGCCTGCAGATAGGAAGGTCGTAGGTTTGGATACTGACAGAGCCTTTTTTCAAAAGCCTTGAGTGGGTACCAGATACAGTCATGGGAAGCAAAGGCGGCTGGCCTGATGCTGACCACTTCACACACCAAGTGCTGATTGGTCTATAAAATATAGGTCTAGACCTAAATGCTCCATGCACTTGAAGGTATGGGAAAGGCTCCTTTACTTTTACTTATGTGGCTTCTGGGCCCCACATTGAAGAGTAGGAAAACAGGACTCCTGTGCCCTTCACAAAGATGTTGTGGAAGGCGACTAATTAGTGGTTTTGCTTAATTATAAATTAGGATGTGTTGGGCTGAAAGGTACAGATATCCCAGCCAAGCTGTAAGCCTCAAAACAATATATCAACTGCATTTTGAGGAGGAATGCAGAAGTATTTTTTTTAAATGCTTAACACAGGTTAAGTTCATTTAGCAAAACGATCGGCAGTAACAAGAATAGGGGTTTAAGTGATAACAGTCCTAGGAAGAAAGAGTTTGAGTAATAACTGTCTGGGGCAGAAGTAATTAAACATTTACTGCCTGGGGTAAAAGGGATTAAACTAATTACTGTCTGCGCAGAAGGAATTTAATTACTGTTTGGGGCAGAAGAAATTAAATTAATTACAGTCTGGGGAAGAAGGATTAATTAAACTAATTACTGTCTGGGGCAAAGTAATTAAATTAATTACTGTCTGGGGCTGAAAGAATTAAAATAATTACCGCCTTTGGCAGAAAGAATTAGAGTGGCACTCTGGGGTAAACAGTACATGATATAATATTAATATGATCATCATGGCTGTCAACCAACAGTCTTCTGTCTTGTGTGCTGGCAATCATTTCTGCTAATGATGTTGCTCCATGCTCTTATGTCATATGGTTCTTCTCGGTGCCGAACCCTGCGGGAATTAAAAGAATATACCCACTTCCTCCCTAACATGCTTGTAACATAAGAGTCTACTTAAGGGTTTATTTCAAAGTCAGAGCGCATCTGCCTAAAAGTGAGGAACCACCAGTCTGCATACAAATAAACCAGATCTGTAAAACAGATGTGCTCACAAAACTCAAGTTCTGAAAAAAGACTTCTCTATGTGGTTTCCAGGGCACTATCGTGGGGGAAAACAAGTCAGATCTGTAAAATGGACGTGCAAGTAACACTCAGATGCTAGAAGAAGACTAAAGTCCAGAGGGGGACGAACAACCAGAATCTTCCACCAGAGTTTACAGCTGGTGAACGCTAAGAAGAACGCTATAAAAGCGCAACTCTGCAGCTTGCATATATTTTCTTACTAATTAGTGAATGTCCATGATTCTCTTTCATACATCAGGAATGACTGAATATGCCAATATTCATAAAATGAGCAAATTAATCAAGAGTTCTCTTACCTTAAAACCTCCTCTTGGCAGCGCAAACCTTCAATTATCCGTCCCTGAGTATCCACAAAGTCGCACACAACCACAACAGCCTTCCCACAAGATACATCCGTGTCTGACATCGACAAAGATTCCCCACTGTTGGTGTCTTCGATAATGTTCAGCTTGTGGGCATCAATTTCATTCAGGGTCATCAGTCTGTGAAGCAGTACTCCATGACACTGGTCATGAACCCATGTGGATGCTTGTCCAAATCCAGTTTTAAGTGCCTTCAAAATATATTACTTCAATGTCAGAACCATAGAAGATATTGTTATATGGATATGCATTAGAAATGAATTTGTGTATACATATAACTCCTACATATACAACTGCCTGTCAGACTGTGACTGTCGGTATATACCACTTTTTAGGGCTGTGTTAGACAGGGGGTGGTGAGACTGAGGGTTTAGGGCCGCACAGCGAGTGCTGTTGCCACAAACTGAACAGGTTAGGGTGTTTAATTTTGCCCTAGACAGAAATATTTCATCGCCTTTCCAAGGTTCAAACCCGAGGCTCCCGCATGAGAACCCGACATTGTAATCACTCCGCCAGCCACTCTTCCCATATAGCGCTTAGTCAAATGTTTACCATTTGTGGGAAAGGGTGGGGGGTTGGCATTGGAGAACAGACCTGTAATCTCCCCCCCCCCCCCCACCCCCCTCCCAATAAACATGTTGGAAGGGTGACAAATAAGGATGTTTCCTTCAAGGGGCCAAAGCCGATCATGATCTTTCATACAAATATGTTGAGCTGTGTCAATAACCTACATCACAGCACGCTAGACATTCCCATTTGCACTCTGTTATCTGCATAGAGTTCTAATGCTGTTGGTACCAACAGCAGTATGATTATATGACTTGTCTTGTCTTTCTACTCTGAGTGTAGAGTGTAGGCCAGATCCCCTGGCACCATTCTCTCCACATCATAATGATCTATTCATACTTCCAGCATCCACTTGACCACATCTGACCACTGGTAGGATTTGACCACATCTAGCATATCATGCCTCTGTTTCCCACCCAGTGGTGCAGCATCAGAGAAATGTTAAAGGTTTAACAAAACTACAGATTAAATGACAAACAAACCAAAAACACTGACAATGATCAGCAACAGTCACTGCCAAGAAATAAACAATTTGTCAAAGATGGCTAGGAAATTCTATTTTTCTTTTAGGATTCACTGGCAGTAAATTCCAGTAGAAAGGTCTTGTTGCTTCTTCTTTGCGTTCACTGGTTGTAAAGTCTGGCAGAAAATTCTGGTTGTTCGTCCACTTCTGGATTGTTCCAGATCTCGAGTTTTGAGTGTGTTTTTATTTGACCGATCTGGTTTTTCGTATGCAGACTGTTTGTTCCTTGCCTCTTGAGCATACACATTTCAAACCAGCATATCCTGGGACAGAGTTGATAGCATGAAGCGCGATGGCAGAATATGTTACTGATAACTGGTGAAAGTAGGTGAACATTAATTCTGCCAGCGTTTTCTGTAATCCAGAAATTAGTCTGGACTTTTCTTACCTGAAGGCATAGGGGAGAGAATCCATCATTCAAATGGATAAAATCAACTTCAGAGTTGTCCTTCTTCATCAAGGTAAACAACTCTTGTATTTGGTGGTGTTGGACATAGTTCAAGGATTTGTTGTTGAGTACTTTGATGTCCTTACATGGCAGGCAGTAGATTCCCTGTGTCTGCCAGACTTCTGGATCATAGAGAAACTGTAGGAACAGTGACATTTAACATAAGGCACATGTGGTAGCACAACACATGTAATAATAAAAGGCCTAAGTAATCATATGAGGTATGAAATATTATTTGCAGTGAGTGCAGTAAGTGAGCAACAAAAGAGGTTCTGTCTTCAGCAGACAGGCAGATATTGGGGATTGTCTGCTGGAAAAAGAGTATAGTGAGCTGTTGCGTGCAAAGGTCACTGTGGTGTGTAAAGAGTTATGAAGCCAGGGCTTTGTGAAGCATGGGTACACACTAGCATTCATGTTGTGTTGATGGGTTCTGAATGTAAACACTTGAGCCAATTAAAGTTGCGAAACAGGGGTTGCTGGACATTCACGAGTGAGCTGTGAACCCTCGGTTTTGGCGAGAGAGTGAGATCCATACAGAACTGACAGCACGTGAAATAATCCTGTGGTTCTTGTTTAGATGTGTGCATAAATTGTTCAAGTCCCATCAATGCATGGACTTTGTGGCAGTTTTAACAATATCTTTTATTCTGTTGGAGCTCATAATCTGTTCTGTGAACGCTGTGGATTATAAGTTGTACTTTGGAATGCTGTCAGAGTGATTTTCTAGAAAGAACATGCGTCGGTACAAAGTTGCAGCTATGTGACTTGCTGGTTGATGACCTCATCAACCAGCAAGTCACATAGCTGCAACTTTAAGTTTTTTCAGAAGGTACTGTGGTAACTGTGTGTTGACCAACCAACACTGAGGAAGTTATGATGGGGAGGTACCGGGAATGCTGGTCGTTGGAGGGTGGAGTCCCTTAGTTAATACAGATTGCTGTGGTTAACTGAAGGTTGACCAGTGATACTCCGAGTGACTGGATAGCAGACTGGAGGTCTGGATTCATTTCACCAAGTGGTACATCTACCTTGGACCCTCAGGTGGCAGGGTCTCTAAGAGAGACAGCCATCAGAGGTCTGTCACTGCACATCCTAACAATTATCTGCCTAATCAGACGTGAGTCGCCCGTAGAAGCCACTTGTACAAGAGTTCGCCAAGGTGTTTTATCCATGTTCCGGAAACTGCCAATGTGAGGCTATGTGGCAAGGAGTGGTCTGACAGTGAGTCACTGGTTATCAATTTATCGTTGTCGCAATGTATTTGTCCAATAAAAAAAAAAAGAGACTTCCTACACTATGAGATCATACTTGTGTGGTGTTAGTTAATCAACAGATTATCCTCACATGGCGACTGATAACACCAGTTCTGTGTTTGTTCACTATTCTCCGTTGACTACTGTTTGTGCAATCCGAAGATCCACACTACGGACAACCGATAATGAACATGAGGTATGACGAGGACACGACGTCACTTGCCGACAGAAATTTTTTAGACAGATGACAGTTGCAAAAAATGTGTTAATGGCAGAGGTTGGAAACTAGGCTTAGCTGTATTCTACTTGATGCCGCAGTTGGGTGGGAGCTTAGGCTCTGTACTCTGGCTTAGAGGTAAAAGGAGTTCTTCTACTTGATGCCGCAGTTGGCGGAGAGCTTAAGCCCATTGCTCTGCCTTAGAGGTAAAAGGAGTTATTCTAATTGATGCTGCGGATTGGAGGAAAGTAATTAGCTAACCGTCGTTTGATACAGTGACTGTAATGTATGCATTTCATTGACGCCATTTATATCTGTGAGGAATCTTTCAAATAAATTTCTTTGATTTGCCTGTCAACGACGTGTTTATAGCAGTTTCAACGGTTGACTTTGTTACGGCGTTTTTTCTGCCCGCCGTTGGTCTTTGTCATTGGTTACCCCTAGCAAATAGTTTACTTGGAATGTGTACAGCATGGATTCGGGACTACTACACCTCACGACCGAATTTATGAACAGAATATCATCATACAGTAATGGAGACAAATAAGAGCCGTACAACTACCTGTATTGTACATGTTTGGCAACATCTCTTTTGACCTGAAGTTATTGTGGTCTTTTGAGTGTTGCTGGTACACCGTCGTCTCCTGAATCATCTTCTCGTCCTGCCTCCTTGAGAGTATTACGAATATCAGCCTGGTCCATTGCTTTTCCTGTACTACAATGGCCCTGTCAGCAAGTCAACCACTTGTTCATACACTCTTATCCCAGTGCCCTGGTACAAAAATGAAACTCATTTCTATCAGATAAGATTTCCTCAACAACTCCAACCATTTTCTTTGAATCCATCCTGTCTCTATCTTCTTATGTATGCTTAAGGAATCCCTTAGACAGCATGCATAGGAAAAGGTTGTGTCTTTTTACTTGTCCATTTAGCAGAGCTAATCTTCCCATTCTCCAAAGTACCATCTTCACTTGTCTATATGGCAGAGCTAATCTTCTCATTCTCCAAAGTACCATCTTCACTTGTCTATATGGCAGAGCTAACCTTTAAATTCTCCAAAGTACCATCTTCACTTATCCATACTGCAGAGCTAACCTTTCCATTCTCCAAAGTACCATCTTCACTTGTTCATACTGCAGAGCTAACCTTTCCATTATCCAAAGTACCATCTTCACTTGTCCATAACGCAGAGCTAACCTTTCCATTCTCCACAGTACCATCTTCACTTGTCCATACTGCAGAGCTAACCTTCCCATTCTCCAAAGTACCATCTTCACTTGTCTATATGGCAGAGCTTACTTTCCCATACTCCAAAGTACCATCTTCACTTGTCTATATGGCAGAGCTATCCTTTCCCATTCTCCAAAGTACCATCTTCACTTGTCCATACTGCAGAGCTAACCTTCCCATTCTCCAAAGTACCATCTTCACTTGTCTATATGGCAGAGCTTACTTTCCCATACTCCAAAGTACCATCTTCACTTGTCTATATGGCAGAGCTATCCTTTCCCATTCTCCAAAGTACCATCTTCACTTGTCTATATGGCAGAGCTTACTTTCCCATTCTCCAAAGTACCATCTTCACTTGTCTATATGGCAGAGCTTACTTTCCCATTCTCCAAAGTACCATCTTCACTTGTCTATATTGCAGAGCTATCCTTTCCACTCTTCAAAGTACCATCTTCACTATGACTATATGGTAGAGACAACCTTCGCACTTTCCAAAGTACAACTTTCACTATGACTGTTGCAGAGCTATCATTACCACTCCTTATGTATCATCTTCACTATGAGTGTTGCATAGCTAACCTTCCCCAAGCGCAGAAATGCAATATCATCAGAGTGCACAGGAAGAAAGTGAAATCTATCACACAGATTTGAGATATAAAGATCTTGATGTGCATTATTCAACTGCTGAGGATAATTTCCCCTCCTTTTAGGTAACCAGTAAACAGACACACATGATGATGGTACCTGTGGGACATGAGGGTTGCAACTGAGGCTAAGTTCATTAGGATTCAAGATGGCAGATACTTCTAGGCATAACTTAGTTCGGACCAGTCCATTAACCACCTTGAGTTTGCTGCCAGCTCGGACATTCAGAACACACTCTGGACCTGGAAGATTAAAGAACAGAACAGAACTTTTACTTCCCATGTAGGTTCCGGGCCTCATTATGGGGGGAGGGAGGGGGGGGGGGGGTGACCCACTTCAGCCATAAAAAGTATGTCCTAAGATTAAAGAACAGAACAGAACCTTTACCCCCAGTGTGGGTTCGCGGCCTCATTATGGGGGAAAAAAGACCCACTGCCTACCTAAAGAGCATGTCTTAATGGGTGACTAATAGGGATTTTTCCTCCGAAGTTGGAGTGCATCTGCCTGAGGCGAAAAACCAACAGAGTGCAAACAATTAAGCCAGATCTGTAATATGGATGTGCATGCAGAATTCAAGTTCTGGAACAAGGTTTAGGTTCAGAAGTGGATGAACAACCTGAACTGTCTGCTGTTTACAGATGGTCAATACCAAGAAGAAGAAGAAAAACTTGTATATTACATGATACATAACCAACAGACAAATCAGGTCAACATGCAAATGCACATTAGAAGAAAACTGTAAAATGAAGATGTAGACAAAACAAACAATTATTAACAGTCCTGAAGGAGACAATGAATGAAAAGATTTCCTGAAGGATATAATACAAAAAGAGAGACAAGTAAAATAAATGGCTGCATTAAAAGATATGACACACTTTTAAAAAGCACACTGGGATAGTGAAGAGCTGATAGCAAACGAGCAACAGACAGACAGAGATACAAGCATCTGTCTGAGAGGCAATGAACAAACAGTCCGCATTTAAATAAGCCAGATTTGTAAAATGCATGTATGCACGCAAAACCCAAGTTCAGGAATAAGACCAAAGTCCAGAAGTCAATGAACAACGTGAATTTTCTGTCAGAGTTCACAGCCAGCGAAGAAGAAGAAGTTCTCCAAAATGGAGCCCCAGAACCCACAGGTGAGCTCTATAAACAACCCTCATAGATTTATGAAGTAACTACACTTAACAACGAACTGAAACAATTTGAAAACAAACAACCAACATTCTGACAGTAAGGCAACAGCTTTACCACCATGTCAATGAAAGCCCCCCCCCCCCCCCCCCCAATCTTTTCTTAGTCAATTAGGAATAAACAATTTTTTTGTTCTTTGTTCACCATTAAAAGGACCATTGGCACAATGTATTGTAGTTAACAGCTAGGCTGCGATATTGGCACCTTTTGGTCCAATTCATCTGATTTCAGTACATCCTTAATTAGCAGTCTTTTACATGTTAAGAGGTAGAGGGGTCTATCCTATCCACCCCCAAAATAAGGCCCAGAACCCACATAGGGAGTGCAATACTGGATAACAAATGGTTCAAATAACACTGATAACTACAACAAAGCAGAATGCCCTCATTAAACAATAACAAACAAACAAATAAACAAATTGAGTCTAAATGAAACATGCCAAAAATTAAACCTTTACCTTGCGACAATGGCTGCATCTGAACTTTAACAGGGTGTACAGGAAAGATGGCTTGCTCCCAACAACCTTCGCAGTCAGCATGAGTTTGAATTTCAACACAACTATTGAGGTGTAAAGAAAACCAGACTGCAATGGCATCCAGTCTTCCCTCAGATGAGATTTCCAGGTCTGTCTCCTGAATTGTTCCCATGTTCAACCTGGACAGCTCCTGAAGAAATGATGTTTCATGTGTGATATGACTGAGAATTCTAGCTGGAAAATCTCCTCTTACAACATGCTTGGTGGGGGGCAGTGGATCTATCCCCCCTCCCCCTCTCCAAAACTGGGTTTCCGGAACACATAGGGATCTCTTGTATTTAATCATGTGAGGTACTGATGTACTGATTGGCTGTAGCAAGTCGATGTTTGCCTCAGGCCTAAAGGTCTTGCTTTGAGTCTGCATCAGGGTAATTAGTAATTTTTTAAATTTTTATTATAACTAACCATAGCATACAGTGATGAGCTGATTTTTGCCCGCAGGCCCATAGGTCTTGGTTTGAGTCTGCATCTATTTTTTTTTTTAAACTGACCTTGACTCTCAGATCAACCCAGCCTAAACTGGGCACCAGGATATGTTCTGGGAAGCAAAGGCAGCTGGTGTGATCTGAGTACATTTCTCATTCAATGCTAACTGGAGAATGAAATTGTGAGTCTAGTATGACACATCTGATGCATCAATGGTGGGAGGAGTTTTTTCTTCTAACTTATGGGCATTGGGCATGAAAGAAACTTTCTATGTCAACCTCCTCCTCCTTTTGTGTTCATTCTAAATAGGGTTCTTGGGATTCTGGTGTTTTACAGCTAGGCCTCGACGCAGTCATACATTTCAACATCGACGCAGTCATACCAAAACCTGGTATAAATGGGACAATTTAGATCAGGCTTCACAAATTGACTTCATTTTATGCAGGAAGACAAAACAAAGACAATTAATAGACTCAAGAGTCCTACCAAACACAAACACTGACACAGATCATAGACCAGTTATCATAAAAAAGAACAATGAGTACAGAAAACCAAGACATAAAATAGTAACCACAGATGTTATCAACTTCCGGAGACTCCAGGATAATGTGGTTAAAGATGAGATCCAGCAAGAAATGACAGAGCTACTAAATAACCTTCCAGGCTAATATTCAGACATCGATTCAGAGTGGACATGTTTTAGGACGGCTATGCTCAACACACTTCGAACCAAATGCAGAGTCAAAAGGGTAGATGGTGTAAAACATTAAAGAACTATTTTGTGGAACAACGAAGTTAAAGATAGCGTATCCAGAAAGAAGGAGGCATATAAAAAATGGATACAATCAAAATCACATCAAGATTTTGTGTATATTACAGATTAGTAAGAAGAGAAGCAAAATGCAAAATTAAAACATCTAAAGACGAGTCTTGGAGAAATTATGGTCAACTGATAGCTACCCTCAGCAAGAACTCTCCTAGAGAATTCTATAAACATATAAAAATCATGACAGAAAGAGACATAAGCTACAACCCAAAAACTATCATCAACAACAAGAGAGGCATACCTCTATTTAGTCCACAACAGAGGTTGGCAAGATGGGCAGAGTATTTTCAAGAACTTCTCAACCCCACAGGCAACGTAGATAATTTTAACTTTGTACCTCGAAGCTGCAAACAAGAGAAACCAAATTTCAGAGCAGCGGAAGTAAGAGCAGTTATACAGAACAGCCCTAGAAACAAGGCACCAAGTCTGGATGGAATTAATATAGAAGGGATCCAAGCATGCGGAGAAGTGGGTGTTAACTGGCTTACTAGAATTTTTAATATAGCTTGGGAAGAAAGAAAAGTCCCAGCTGAGTGGCAACAGGCACTAATAATACCGTTATGGAAAAAGAAGGTAATAGGAGAGAATGTGAAGCATACAAAGGTATATCACTACTGAGTCATGTAGGAAAAATGTACGCCAAATTACTAGAACAGAGAGTTAGACCCATAGCTGAACAACAGCTGAGTGCATCACAATTCGGTTTCAGAAAAAGCAGAGGATGCACAGATGCATTATTCACTCTGAGGCAAGTGTGTGAGAAAGCCATTGAGTATAATACCAAACAGAATATTGTGTTTATAGATCAGGAAAAAGCTTTTGATAGAGTGGAAAGAAACAAACTGTGGTCTGTTCTTGAGAACTACAGGGTACAAGGACAGTTACTAGAGAACATCATAGCCATGTTCCACACAAGCCAAAGTGCAGTAAAAACACAAGAAGGCATATCAGATACGTTTACAGTCAACACAGGTGTGAGACAGGGATGTGTGCTCTCCCCACTTTTATTTAACATCTATATAGAAAGAATATCTAAAGAAGCAAGTTATGATACAGACAACATAGACCTTTATAATCATGAGGAAGTACACACATCAGAAGAAGTAATCGATTCACCAACATTAAACGAACTACTATTTGCTGACGACCAGTGCTTATTCTACCCTGAAGAACATAGACTGCAAGACCACATTAACAGGTTAAACTCAACATGCAGTAAATACAACATGAAAATCAATGTAAACAACCGAAACAATTCAAGTTAGTAGAACCCCTGCCCCACTACACATACAGCTGAATGGTTCTGCCCTGAATCAAGTTAGGGAGTTTAAATATCTAGGAAGTATGATCACAGAAGATGGTAGAATTGACAGAGAAATAGAAACCAGATGTCAGAAAGCAAGTGTTCTTATATACCAATTGTCACCATTATTAAGACATCCAAGCATAACTATGAGTGCAAAGAGACAGAATATTAATAGCATATTCATTCCAACATTAAGCTACCAGTGCCAAACATGGACACTATCTAAAGCCCATATACGCAAAATCACCACCTGCGAGATGAGGTGTCTGAGAAAAGCAGCCAACCTAACCATACGAGATCGAGTGAACAATGAAACTATCAGGCGAATTGTGGGAATGACACCTTGTACTAGATTCATCGAGAAACAGCAGATCAAGTGGTTTGGCCATCTCTTTAGAATGCAGCAAGATCAAATACCATCACAAGCGCTACATCTCAGAAGATCAGCTACAAGAGCAAGAGGACGGCCGCAGAAAACATGAATCGACAACATTAAAGACACTCCACGCCTTCACGGCATGACAATAGCCAATGGCAGCCAACGTGCACTGGATCACAAATTATTCCTCCCCGCGACGCTTAACGGCAGAAGTGGTTTATGATGATGATGATGATGACAGCTAGGCAGTGATAGCTTCTGAGAACTACACATCCTACCTCAGCAAATGCCTACTGGTCGCCTTTTATGACATGTTTGTCAGGGCACAACCGGCTCCAGCTGACGGGCTGTGCTACTGATGTCACCGGGTCAGGCTAACTATGTGTTAACGCAGCGGTTCTCAAACAAGAAATTAAACTATTTTTGACAGTGGCGAGGGAAGACCACTTAAATTTTAACTTTTAATTACATGCCCTCTTTAAAAATTTCCCACTTTTTAGCCGACTTTTCTTGATTATTGCTGCGGCACCCCTGGCATACGCTCACAGCACCCCAGGGTGCCTCGGCACCCAGTTTTGAGAACCGCTGCGTTAACTCATCATTAGCCCCACCCGGTGACGTCAGCATCACGGCCCATCTGCTGGAGCCGGTCGTGATCGGGGGGGGCAGTGAATTTATTTCTTCCTAAAATGGGGCTGCGGAACACAAATAGGGAACCTCAATGCGAAAGCTACAGGATTGAAACTACTTCAATAGCAATGCATCAATGCATTCACCAATGAACAGCTGTCCCTACTGAATTGAATCACAAATTGACACCACTGCACTTGGGACATTCCCATAAGTGCTCTGTCTCATTTTTCAGTAGCCAATGAAGAGCCTACATGCTGATAATACCAGTTTCAACCTGATCAAAATTCCCCCTCCCTCAGTGTTGAATATCTTCCAGTGTCCCTAATGCCTGCCGCTTAACTCAGATGATTCCCTAACCAACCAATAACAATCCCTATTGTCTTCCTCTTACTTTATATGATTCCCCCAAGCAACCAGCAACTGTTCCCACTGTCTTCCTCTCACCTCAGAGGATCCATCATCCAATCAACTGTCCCCACTATGTTTTCTTTCTCTTACCTCAGAGGATCCATCAACCAATCAACTGTCCCCACTGTGTTTTCTTCACTTACCTCAGGGTCATTAAAATTCACATCCATGAACTTAAGTGGCTCCGACAAGGTCCTGTATCCACGAGGAAGATGTTTGATGCCATGAGCTGTGTACGGGTCCATGTCACACAGACCAGTAAACCCATACAGGTGAATTCCTGAAGTGCTGATCCCAGCAAATTCTCCGAGAAATCTGATGTTGCAAATGATACAGTCTTTAGCTCATCTAGCAATGCACAAGCTGCCTTGCACAGATAGTAATTCCTTCATAAATACAGTACTACAATTATTGTGTTTATATGACACAGTACTGGGAAGGTGGTTCAGATCCTTTGTCTTCCCTCTCCCAGTGGAGCAACCAGTTTATAGTAAGCCTATTTTAAACTTTATGATTAGTTGTCTACAACACAAGGTAGCCAGAAATGGCCAGCCTCTGTAGTTACCTCTTACAATATGCATGGCAGATTTGAGTGTTTCTGTTCTTTGCTTTTCTTATAGCCTAGACCAGTGATTCCCAATTATCTAAGACCAACAAAGGACCTCTTTCATCTTCAAAAGTCTGTCATGGACCCCACAATTGTTTTTTCAATTATTATTTTTTTTAGTCATAAAAAAAAATTTGGGGGTTCTCCCTGGCGAAGTAGTCAATCAAACCATTTGCCATACGCTCCGATGGTCATGGGTTCACTTCACAGCGTCGTTCAGTTCATGGGTGCAATTTTTTTAACAGAGATTCATGGGGACATGTTGATGGAGCTTCGGAGTTTGTGGTTTGTGTGATGCTCTCGGCTGGCTTCTAGCTGTTTTGCCTAGACAGGCTGAGCCATATGGGACAAAATCTGATGCAACGAAGTCAACATTCAAGATGTGAACTGAAAATTTATTATAATTTTTTAATAGCAAACAAAAAAAGCATTCAAAAAAAAAAAAGACTGCATTCTTTAGTTGCTTAATCGTTTCAAACCATTACGATTCTGGGGCCAACCCAGCATCTTAAATATGGGTACCAGGCAATCTCAGAAAGCAACAACGAGAAAGAAGAGAACTCGCTACAGCATCTTGTAGGTCACGGCCTTGACTATGTGAAACCATATCACTTCACACCTCAATGGCTCTATCCGCTATCTTTTACCCACTACATCCACCCTTGATCTAACTAGCACACCTAATGGAACTAACTACTATCTTTGCATAAAGCACCAATGATTTTGATCTAACTAGCAAAGCTAATTGGACTATCTGCTGTCTTTACCTAATGTACAAAGGATCTTAATCTAACTAGCACACCTAATGGCACTATCTGCTATCTTTACCTAATGGCACTATGTGCTATTTTCACCCACTACATCCACCCATAATCTAACTAGCACACAGAATAGCAAGAATCTGCCACTTTACCTCATGCACCCATGCTCTAACTAGCATACCTAATGGCACCATCTTTCTTTACCTACTACATTCACCCATAATCTAACAAGCACACCGAATAGCATTATCTGCCAACTTTACCTAATGCACCAATAATCTAACTAGTATACCTCAGTGGCACCATCTGCTATCTTTACCTAATCACAAGCTAAAATCATCCATAATCTAACAAGCACACCGAATAGCATTATCTGCCAACTTTACCTAATGCACCAATAATCTAACTAGTATACCTCAGTGGCACTATCTGCTATCTTTACCTAATCACATGCAAAAATTACCTGCTTTCTTTGAGAATGGCATCACATTCCACAGCCTGCAGGTAGAGCTGTGCCTTTCCAGGAATTACCTGCCCTCTCTTTTTTTTTTTTTAAATGGAAAATTTATAATGAACTCATTAATAAATCTGAGATGTTAACAATATGTACAAATATATGCAAGTTCTACTGAAGATGTAATGCACGTAAAGGACACAGACAAGCCTCAGGACATGTAAAGCCTCAGGAGATCTAAAGAAGCCTCAGGATACGTTAACAATCTAAGCCCCGCAGGACATGTAAAAATGATTTATTAGCCTCAGGGGATGTAAAGAAGCCTCAGGATATGTAACAATCACAGCCACTCAGGACATGTAAAGGTGATGACCATGCCTCTGGGGATGTAAAGAAGTCTCACAAATACGTAACAATTTAAACCCTGCAGGACATTTAAAGGTGATGACCTAGCCTCAAAAGATCTAAAGAAGCCTCAGGATATGTAACAATCAGAGCCACTCAGCACATGTAAAGGTCATGACCAAGCCTCTGGGGATGTAAAGAAGCCACAGGATATGTATAAATCACAGCCAATCTGGACATTTACAAATCACAACCTCTTAGGGCAGGTAAAAGAAATTACCAAGCCTCTAGGCATGCAAAGGTTATGACCGAGCCACATTACAGGTAAAGTTCCATAAATGAAAGGAATTGACAGGTGGTGCTCTGGTACTGGGCTCACTCAAGGATTCATCATGTCCTGCTTACCCTCGCTTCTGCATATGAAGCTTTCTGTTTAACATCGATTGAGAGAAGAACAGGACACAGTCAGCAGATCTGGGACTTTGATTACCTTTATACAGGGAGCAATATGGTTTCTCAGCACATCAAGAATTTCCTCTTAGTGAACTTGTGTGTCAAGCAATATTAAATCTGGGGATCTTAGAGACTTTTCGCCAAACCTGCTTGATGGCATTTCTTCTTCCCCCTTAATCGTTGTTTTGTGTTTACACACTTGTATGAGAAAAAGAATATATCAATATACCGGGCCCATTATGAAAAGAAGCGGACAGAGAATCACTAAGCAGGTACTGAAATAGGAAACACATGAAATGGGGGGGGGGGGGGGGGGGGGGAGGGGGGGGGGGAAGAGGATGTTTCCAAAAGGAAACCCTAAGATAAACAAGAGAGGCCAGAGCAGGTACTGAAATAGGAAACACATGGACTGGGGAAAAGAGGATGTTTCCAAAGGAAACCCTAAGATGAACGAGAGAGGCCAAAGCTGCTAGACTATATTTTATCAATGATATTGAAAGAACTGCATAGGACAGAATGGAATGGAGGACTAGACTGCAAACTTATGTGATATTTATATAACAGCAAAATAGGATAATAATGATAATGTGGTTTATAACTAGGCTGCATTATCTGAGCCTTTCGGCTCAAAACATCTGACTTTAAAAAAAAAAAATTTTAATTCTTAATCAGTTGATGTCTATTACATGCTTATTAAGGGTCAGTGGGTATTCTCTGGATCCTGGAACCCACAGTGAGACCTTGTAGCATTTACTGTGACAAAACAGAATGCCATTATTTAACAGATTTGTAATGATGGCATCCTAGTGTTGTGTTTCATGGATATTGATTGCTCTATCAATTATGTATTATCATATTTTAATGACATTAAAAAGCTATATACAACATAAGAAAGAGACAGTCAGTGTTCTTTAGTCATGTGATCAGAAGAGAGGTGTTGGAGAACACTGTGATGACTTGAAAGATCAATGGTATAAGAGGCAGAGGCAGACCAAGAGAGATGATGCTTGATGGCCTGAAGTGAAGGCATGGCAGGAAATCATCAGAGTAACTGAGTCAAAATACCAAAGACTGAGATCTGTGCTGCTGGGGCAGGACATATGATGATGATCATACTCAGACAACTCATTAGGCAACAATGAATGGCATCATCACTGACTGTGCCAAACAAAAATATCATTCCAAACAAGAAGTAGAGCTGGTCAGCCTCACAATACCACAGGAATACAAAATAAACACTTCGGCTAGAAAGTTTTCATCAGTACAAAAACAACTACAAAGAATACATAAATAATGTTACCTCATCAGGACCATTCTTTAACAAGTGTGACCAGGCGTGACACAAAGTTGGCAGAATCCCTTCACCAAACAGGCCTGCGTCAAAAGTCTCTGTCACCAACACGTCCGCTCTGTTTATAAGATTTTAAAATAAATAAAAAACAAGCCAAAGGAAATTAGTAAATTCTAATATAGATATAGAGGGTTCTTTTGGTGAATTAGAGTCTGTCCTTCAGTTCATGGATGCTGGTGTTTCAGAGACCACTAATGGCTGTTGCTAAAGCTATGGGGTTCATGCTTTGTGTGACATTCTCATGGGTGATCAGCTACTCTGAGGAAAGAGACGCAGCGCTACAGGGCTTAAAGGTCTTTTACAGTCCAGTCCAAGTGGCATTGGCCATCACGTAGGTGCAGTCTTCATCTTGTGTACTCACATGAGATACTTTGCACATATTCTCGGTATAAATTTCTTCCATTGATGTCAATGTCCTACTAGGTGAGTTGCACTAGCCACTAAGCCCCTACAGAGTATATTCTCTGTCTAGCACAGTTCAAGACGTGACCAGCTCTGATGAGAGCATTTCAGCTGTTCAGTGCTTGTGTCTATCATTTATGAAAATCAACCTCCTCAAATCTGCCACTGTGGGTTCCAGGGCCCTGTTGGGAGGGTAAGTGAGGAAAAAAAACCCACTGCCCCTTAACAACCATGTAACAAATTAGGCATTTTCTGCAATCAGATGTGTTGGCCAGAAAGGCAGAGATATCATAGGCTAGCTGTAACCTGACTTTGCTGCCACCGGGTGACGAACTCCTTGTGGTCCGGGTTCACGCCCGGGGGTAGGCAGAAAAGCCCCATTTCTCCCAGATTTACAGTGTCTATCATGGAATCAAAGCAGAAGGGTTGTGATATCCATAGCACCCTGTGGTTTCTGGATATAAAAAAAAAAAAAAAAAACACAACATGACAACCACCCTTTTAAGGTATTTGTGCAGAAAAAGAAAAACCTCCCATTAAAAAACCACTGTATTCAGACTGCAAGCTGGACACAATAGACTTTACAACTTTATGTACAGGAAATTCAAGATTGGGGACTCAGAACTTTACCCATGTGGACAGGCATCATACAATACTGGAAAACCTGTGCTGCAGACATGCTCTCTTCATGCAGTAGGGTGATCCCAGGTCTGGCCAGTTGACTTTCCAGCAGGAACCAAGCTGTATGGATCAGTGGAGGACATGTGTCAAACCACAGCCTTCCCAGAGGCTTGTGGCGAGTGCCAAGTGCTTACGTCACCTCTGTCCATGAGGTGTTTAGGCTTGTAGAGTAAAGAAGGTGTCTTGCATTTCTTGTTGGCAGAGCTGTTACCAAAGCAACAGCCTTAATGACAGGTAAAACAACTTTACTTACTTTACCTGTGTGGCATATCCTGAGGCACTGACATCTGAGATGACATCTTGTTTATCAAGGTGACCATGTTTGACTTCGTAGGCTCCAGGTTGGCACTGAAGACACTGTGAGCAACTTCGCACATTGAATTTGACTTTTCAATAGCAAAAATCTGGCCACTGTCCAGGTACTGGCTAGCAATAAGACTGTATAGAGAGCACAGCTCTTGTCAGTTTTTGGAATCTATCAGTAAACAGTTATTTAAAAGGCTAAAAGTATTTCCATTACAGATGCTAATGAGGAAAGATTATGACATGCTAACAGTTTTAGATGCTTTATTAATATCCTACCCCAGATGAGGTCACAGGACAATCCAACATTTTAGAGGGTGGTAAGACTGGGTTTCCTGGCTTTCTGATGCTTTTAACGACCCCAAAACATCTAGAACTGGCCCTAACCACAACCCACCTACGTCCTACGAGAGAGTGCAGCCTAGGTCCCACGACTGCATGTAGCCTATCTACCACCCCCTGAAATATTAGACTGTCCCGTGACCTGCGGATTTCCCCTGTTTGGGTTAGGATATTAATAAAGCACCCAACCCAGTTTTACATAAGGTAGGTCATCATAGCTTTATGAGATAGGAAAGACTATATTTTACATTCACTATGGTAATGTAACTCACAGGTTCCTGTGCAGAACAGACAATCAATGCCTTAAGAATCACTAATGTGGAGCTGAGGGAGAGATAGAACAGAAGTGATCCTTTTGTGTGATATTACCATCAATTGCATATCCTCTTCCTAGGGTCAGGCTACTGTCCTCCCCATTACGCTCCTCCACCCAAAGCGGTTGGCAAAATGTGGGATGTCAAGTGACTGCCCAACATTTGGCATTTTAAGAGAACAATTAGTTCTAACTAGTATTATACGGTAGGACACTGATCTGTGGATCAGAAAGTCATGGGTTGAGGTCCTGACAGAGCTAGGTTAAAAAAAATGTCCTTGACTCCCAGCTCGACCCAGCCTTTAATGGGTACCAGGCAAAATCCTGGGAAGTAAAGGTGGCCAGCATTATGCTGACCACATCATGCACCGTGCCAACTTGTTTTATAAAATATACGTCTAGCCATATATGTCCAATACACCTGAAAGTGTAGGAAAAGGGTGCTTTACTTGTATATTATAAGGTAGCTCAGTGTTATTTGGCCAAGACCTCACCGTACTCCAAGTTAGTACCACTGTCTTTAATTGTATATCTGAATGGGATCTGTTTTTATTAAATTAATTTTACGTCTATTTCAAACAGCTTAACCGATATCTAGTAAATCCTATAAATATTCCATGAATACAGTAAAACCTTGTTAACACGAACTCGCTTAAGACAAACATTTGGTTTACATGAGCAACATTTTCATCCCGGCAGGCATGTATTATTTATAATACACCTATTAGTCCCTGGTTAGCATGCAATTTTATAACAAGAACTCTTGATTTTTTTTTCTGTCCCTTAGAATTTTACTGGTCCCAAGGTTTTACTGTAAATAGAAATGTGCTACATATCTGGCAAATGAGCAAAATAAAAAAAAACAAAAAACCTTAATAAACCTGTCCCACATCCAACATCACAAACAACAGCTTTTCTGTCCATCTGGGTGAGAACTGCTTTGATGGCTTGCTGGTAAGCATGATTCCTTCCCTTGTCATTCAGCATCACAAAATGCCACCGCTCCACTAGATGGCAGCATATGTTCTCAAACATCTCCTGTAGACTGAGGGACTTGGGATTCAGGTGAAGTGCTCTGGCCGCAAGTTGAAAGGCTTTCTGTTTGACCTGAAGGCTGAAAAAAAGCATATTTTTATTATCAACTGTCTCGCCAAGAGAAGCCTTTAAACTGATACTTGCTGTTAAGGCCAATTCTCCTTAAATGCCATTTTCCGACTTGTCTATTGTGATATATTTACTATATTAATAGTTAACACTACTGGCTGTTTTTATCCACTCCAAATTAAGGATCTGGAGCCAAGTTGATATCACATTTTTCCATAAGCCTCAGTGACAGATGTCACAGGTTCATGGCATTAGCCAATGATACAGAATTTTTTGAGCCCTAGGAAATGTATTCTATGTAATGCTTCACTCTGTTCATGCTTACTGATTACTCTCTTCATATATCTTAATATATTTCAGGAAAAAAGGGGGGAGGGGGGGGGGGGGGGTATAGTAAAAAATGTAGATTTAAAAAAAAAAAATGTGTGACCTGTGAAAAATTTGTGTTTGTTCATAACTTGCTTTCTGACATTTCAAACAGGGTCATGACTCATTTTTTTTTATATTCCTGGACAAAAGCATATTTTTTATGTGATACAAATATCATGAAAAAATGAGGATGAAGTAGTTTTTTTTTTTTTAATCATTCATTAACATAAATATTTGTTATAACTGTACATCTGAAACAATTGTAAATCAAAAATAAAACAGTAAAGCTATGTCTTATCCCACACCCAAAATCATATTAATTTAGTACACTTGATGAAGTCTAAGAACCAGTGCAACTGAAACTCTGCACTGGCTGCTGAAGACAGGGACACAGTGCTTATGGAAATGTCCTAAGTGCTCAAATATCAGCTCAAAACTCAATGAAAAAGTGAGCAACATCTGAGAAGGAAGTTAGAACAGTTAGCTCTTATTCAGGTCATCAAGGTTAGAAACCACAGTAAGCAGATGGAATTGTTTCTGTCATGGGCCCCACAAAAAGTGTGAAACCTGCACAGTTCGTAGCGACTACACTAGCCCTGCTGTTCTTAATCAGTCTCAAAATTATCTACCCCCCATCCTACACCCCCCCCCCCCACCCACCCCCCAAAAAAAAGGGTGGCAGTAACTGGCAGTTTAGATGAGAGACTACAAACTACAGATTTAAAACATTTACAAGTAAAACACACAAGTAGGAGAATAAACCAGGCAACAGCTATATTACTTTTAATGACTTCCCACTTTATGATGTGGAATCATTCATATGCAGACAGCAAGGTAGACAAGGGTGGAGCAAAATGAAGCAAATAATACAAAAGGCAAATCGATAAGTGAGCACAGGTGCTTTGCGGCATTTACCAGATATCAGTTTGTCGAACATCACATCAGTTTGTTGAACATCACATCAGTTTGTCGAACATCACATCAGTTTGTCGAACATCCCATCAGTTTGTTGAACATCACATCAGTTTGTCGAACATCACATCAGTTTGTCGAACATCCCATCAGTTTGTTGAACATCACATCAGTTTGTTGAACATCACACCAGTTTGTCGAACATCCCATCAGTTTGTTGAACATCACATCAGTTTGTTGAACATCACACTTTTATTTTTTGACTTGCTTTTAGTGCAATAAACTTCACTGTTTGGTATACGTTGATGTGACAATTATTATGATAATGTACTGCCTTACTTTTGGCAAAAGGCAATCAGGCATCATGGGTTCTCTGAAGAGTCAAAGACGCAGCCAATGATGTTTTAGTACATCTTTACTAATTCTCATCTGACTTCGGGCCTAAAATGGAGGATAGGCTTGGCAAAACGTTAAGCTTTGAAGTAATTTTTGCTCCTGACAGCACTTTGCAAATGCAGTTTATGTATAAGGACGGCAGTATATGGTTTCGCTGCCTGAGCTACTGAGTTTAGTGCTTGGATGCACCCTGTGAGCTGGGTTTTTCCTGTGAAATGCCTTTCATTTGTGCAGCGGCTGTGTCAAGGTGTTCAATATGGCTGGTAGCCGGCTTACGTGTGAGAAGGTGAAATAGCTTATGTAATAATTCTATATGTGTAAATGTATAGCCAACTTATCGTGCCCGACTACTTCCATCAAGGATAAACTGCATTTCAAGTGGTGATTGTTGGCTTTTGCACCTCTAGCAAGTGAAACACACATTTACTTCAAGGTCTAGAATACCTACTTCTTCTTCAGCATTTCTTCTTCTTGTTCACCAGCTCTAATTTAGGCTCTCCTTTAAATAATGGTCCAAAATGATCTACTCAGAAAGTTAACCCTAACAGAGCCTCATTACGTCCTACCCAACAAAGATTTAAAAGTTCTAGCTCAGAAAATATAAGGAACGAAAAGTATGAGGAAAACGGCGAAGTCTACTACTTACCGACAGTTAAATCTATTATATGTGAAAATTGCGGCACAGAAGCTGCAAATAGTGCCCGAATATCTGTTCTTTCTGTCTGTCCACCATTTAAACAGGGCGAGGCTTGTTCACGATTCTCATTCCAGGCGAGACATAATCAATAATGTGCATTTTAATGTACGCGCACGTTGCCTCGGGACAACTTCAAACCAGCAGTCGCCACTATGGCGCTCCACTTTCCCAACCACCCCTTGACCGTGGCGAATGCGACCACGCTGACAGTTGCGACGGAAGAAGTAGCTCATGACTGTTTCCTTGCGACTATAGTGCCACATCCGAGAGTATCCCCCGCGCCGCGCAAAGCGAGCCAAAACAATGGAGGAAGCTGCAGGAGAAGCGGTAGCTGCTGCTCGTGAGTCCCAGCCATCTAGTTTAGCATCTTCTGTAGCGGCGCGGGGGATACTCTCGGAGGTGGCACTATAGTCGGCGAAAAGTCGTCCGCAACTTACATATAACTGTGGCCCTGCCGTAGGAATGCGCTATTGGGGGTATTCTTGCGTGTCGCTAATTTTTCATCCGTAGTTAATCCTAGTTTTGCTGCCGTTTAATCGTCGTAAAAAAGTCTGTTGCGTTTTGCAAAAAAGTCGTGCGCAATTAATCCTACTTTTGACGTGGTAGATTCGCCGGAAAAGAAATGTGAATTTTAGATATGAGTGAGGCTCTGTTAGGGTTAACTTTCTGCGTAAAATAAATACAAATAAAAATCAATAACATAAAAATAAACAATAATAAATAATAAAAAATAATAAATAAAAAAATAACAACAAAAATATAATAAAAAAAAAATATAAAAAAAACATAATAAATAATAAAAATAAATAAACAAATAAAAACAAAAATAAAAATAAAAATAAATATCAAAAATGATCATTTGGGACCGTTATTTAAAAGAGAGCCCTAATTTAAATTCCGGCTCTTCTTTCAATACCGGACGGTAGCTGGACGGCTTAGTTTGGCTTAGTGGGAGTTCTCTCCCTTGGCCGCATTGCAAACAGGGAGCGGAAAAGTCACGAATCAAATGACATACTTACCTATCATCATACGGTTGCGTACGGTTGCGTGTAGGGTTGCGTAGTCATCATACGGTTGCGTGAAGGGTTGCGTAGTCATCATACCCTAACCCTACCCCTAAACCTAACCTTACCCTACCCCTACACCCTACGCAACCCTATACGCAACCGTATGATGATGATAGACACCCTACCCAACCCTACACGCAACCGTATGATGATAGGTAACCCTACACGCAACCGTATGATGACTACACAACCCTTTACGCAACCATATGATGACTACGCAACCCTACACGCAACCGTATTATGATAGGTAAGTATCTCATTTGAATCGTGACTTTTCCGCTCCCTGTTTGCAATGCGGCCAAGGAAGAGAACTCCCACTAAGCCGTCCAGCTACCGTCCAGCTACCGTCCGGTATTGAAAGAAGAGCCTAAATTCCCTGTGTACACAGTTTTTGTCTCTCTGTTATCTGCTTTTCTCTCTATATGTCTCAGACATTGCAGTCTTTTAGCCTTCACTATGTCAGTGACCAGTAATGATTCCAATATGAATTTCATTGTTGCTTCTCACTCTCCATACTCCACTGTTTAAATTTTTTATGGGTCCAAAGATTCGGCAATACTTGAAATGACGACCCTAGGGGGTGCAATCTTGTTTTTTTACGGCAACCACAGGGGACACAATTATAGTTTGTGTACATTGACATAACAATGTTCTGTTCATATTGCTTCAGGTTATGGTTTTGAGCTAGGGTTAGCAGGAGGTTTAGCATCACAGGCCCAGGGGGTAGTAAAGAGTCATAAGACCGGTACATCATGCGTTCATTGGGCTTCTAGGTAGGAACCTATGAACTCAAAGAGTTAAGTATTAAAGAATATTATTATGTGAACGTGTCGGCTCTGTGGCTAAGTCGATGCGAACGCTTCGCTTCGAAATGCCGGGATGCCGGGTTCGATCCCAGTTGCGGGCAAAGCGCCTTGCGTTGGTTTCGACAGTGGTATAAAAAAAAAAGCCGACCGTCCAGGAAGCAATGGCAAACTACTGGACGTAAATTTGCCAAGAGAAACCACACAACAGCCAGGGGCTGTTAGGGTTGGTTCTGCAACGTCCTGTAAAGGATACGCAACTAACTTTTTTTTTTTTTACGTGAACGTACACAAACAATCAGCTTTTAAATACTACTAATTTTGAACTGACTGTGTCGCCAAGGGTTGCTGTTTCAAGTTTTGCAGACTTACATTTTCTTTACTCAAAAATATTATACCTACCTAAAATACAAGGCTGCTGCAGCCTGCAACAGAGCAGCATCCATCAGGGAGAGAACATCGCAATATTCCACAATTTCGTCAAGAACTTTTGCAAACCTTCCTCTGAACTCCTTGGATGACAGTTTCTCATTTTCTTGTGCACAACCTTCTAACGCATATTTTAACATTGTTTTATCAATCGCAGCTTGCTTTATCTTTCTCGTGCAATCCAAACTGCCCGAGCTGTGTTGATATTCTTTACAAAGACAATTTAAACCAAGTGAAAATAAGTGTGTGGCGCTCACGAAGTCGCCATGGAGAACAGCTCCACTAGCAAAGTGAAAAATCTCCTGTGGTTTCAAGTTCTCTCGGCTTCGATTTGCCAGCTGAAGAGATCGGCATATCCTACCCCATGATGTTGTTTGAAAATCGTCATCGGAGCTAGAAATATCTTTACTGGAATCCACATCAGCATTATTATCGCCATCGTCGTCGTCAGAAGATGTAGAAGGAACCGTCTGCAACATTTTCACGGGAGCCGCCATTTGATTTTGACGCTGGTTTGTTTAAAAACTGGATTTAGAGGAAAGGGTTAGGCCTATATCTGGAAAATTTTACGACATTGTGGAATTTCAGAAAAGATAGTGTATATAATTGCTCTCTTCTATAAAGACCTTTTCTGCAGTATAAAAAAATTACAATTCATCGTTCCCGGTAAAGACAGGTGTAAGACAGGGATGTGTCATGTCATCTCTCCTCTTCAACCTTGTAATTGATTGGATACTAAAAAATACAGAAGACAAGACATTGAAAGGCAAACGATGGACCATCCACTTGCTTGAGGACCTTGATTTTGCAGATGATATAGCACTCCTATCACATAAACGTGAACATATATACGAGAGAAAAGTAACAGACTACACAGCACAGCAGAAATGGTGGGACTGAGAATAAATACAAAAAAAAAAAAACTAAGATTGTGACAAACAGTCCAAACCAACAACCAGTGACCATAAGCAACCAATCACTTGAAAATGTAGAACATTTCACATATCTTGGCAGTGTGGTGTCCCTACTAGGGGGGACAGAGGAAGACATACAGTCACGCCTGAACAAAGCTAGAGCTGCTTTTGGAAGGATGAGGCAAATCTGGAAATCCAACAGTTACTGCTGAGGAACAAAACGACTCTACAAGAGCATCATTTTGCCAGTTCTTCTTTATGGGGCCGAATGCTGGAGAATGAACAAAAAGGATGTACACAAGCTGTCCACCTTCCATCACACATGTCTACGAAGAATTATCAAAATTTTCTGGCCAGATACAATCTCAAACACTAAACTACTTCAAGTCACAAATCAAGAAACTCTAGACAGTATGATAACCAAGAGAAGATGGAAATGGCTTGGCTACGTTATGAGAATGAATTCCTGCCAAAACAGCTCTCACATGGATACCAGAGGGAAAGAGAAAAAAAAGGGCGCCCAAAAACAACATGAAAACGACGATGGAAAGTGACCTGAGTGTGGCATCTTTGACATGGAAAACTGCATTGAGGATTGCACAGGACGGGAAAGCATGGAAAGTTCTCTCTGAAACCTCACGTGTCACTAGGCCTAACGAGAACTGATCTATATCAGAGAAAGGTAAAGGGCTATCCTCCGAATAACGCCACATATTATGGGAGCCAAAAACAGGGCCTCAGTTATATGTAAATTGCGAACTTCCGGTGACTATTCCGCCACCGCTAAGAATATCCGCGGCGCAGAGCGGGGCTTAACCATATATTTTAGGCGGTGGCGGTATAGTCACCGGTCTGCAATTTAAGTTGCCTGAAGTTCGCAATTTACGTGTGACTGAGGACCCCACAGGGTGTGTTTTTGACCGCCACAATATGTGGCCGTTATTCGGAGGATGACCAGGTAAAGAATACAAAATGACACAACCATTGGTATCAACGTTTAGAAGTCAGATATGGTAAAATATTCAGCACACCCTGGGAATAAGTCAGCAGAAAATCACAAAACAGGCACTGCGATGTGAAACTATTGGACTGAGGAAACGAGAATGTATGATAAAAGCTCAATGGCGTTTTCTTATAACAAGTACAGAAAGTATCTAGGCACACATTCGACGGAAGATGTATCATAGAGAAAAGTAATAGATTAGGACAGTCCAAAACAAACTGCATTTTATACAATAAATCCCTATCATTGGGGTACGGAAAAGAATTCTCGCTTGCTAAATAGAGCTAGTTTTAACATATGGTAGTGAATCTTAGGAGTAAGACAAGGTTGTGTATTAATATTATCACCTTTACTTTTCATAATATTTATGGACAATATTACTAAAATAGACATAACACCAACAGATGTCGATAAACAGGAGGACTTCAATGAGCTGCTCTTTGCCGACGATCAATGCATTTTTCACAGTGATAGTAAACAGCTGCAAGACCACATTAACCTACTACACGACAGTTGCCTCAAGCATCATATGAAGATCAATACTGAAAAGACAGAAGTCATAAGCATAAGTAGAGAGCAACAGACCATCGACATAAAGATTCTAGATCACAGCCTAAAACAAGTGCAAGAATTTAAATACTTGGGAAGTATCTTTACATTCAATGGTAAAATAGACAGAGAGATCGAAGCAAGAATCCAACAAGCCAACAATGTCGCATACCAGCTTGCCCCAATTTTAAAACACCCTGCTGTCCCAGCTGAGATAAAAAGACAAATTATAAATACAATCTTTGTACCGACATTAGGTTATCAATGTCAGACTTGGACATTAACAAAAGAGCACGAGAGAAGACTAACCACCTGTGAAATGAGATGTTTGAGAATGGCTGCGAATAAAACCAGAAGAGATCGAGTGAGAAACGATGTTCTTCTTCTTCTTCTTGTGTTCGCTTTCTGATTTACACCGACAGACAGGTTCTTGTGATAAACTTGACTGTTTTAATGAGTTCATTTTTAGTCCCATACAACTTTGTGTACAGTGGTGACTCACTGGGCCAGTATTCCTTTCTTAATGGGCTGAACAAGGGACAGTCTTGCAGGACATGTTCTGTAGTCTGCACACATAGCCCACAAGGGCAAAAAGGTGAACTACTTAGACGAAGCCTGTGCATATGCTGGTTAAGTTTGTTATGTCCTGTCCTGAGACGTAGGACAATGACCTGCCCATGCCGGTCAAGTAAGTGGTAGTCATCTCTGGCCAGACTCTGTTCACTTCTGATAGCCTGGATGGCCCTTTTCTTCTCATAGTATGTTACTGCATTCTCTTCTTGGTCACATTCTGCCCCTTTTTTAGCAAGTTTATCTGCGGTTTCGTTTCCTGGTATACCACAGTGGGATGGCACCCACTGGAGTACAGTACACTTTTGGGCAGCCACCTTGCCAAGTTTAGATCTCAAGTGAGGGAGTTTGCCACTCTTGAGGGCTTGAAGCACTGAAAGCGCATCTGTGAATATAACCACTTGGTGGCAGTCAGAACTGGTGTTGTGTAACATTTCGGCAGCCTGCTCTAGTGCTACAATCTCTGCTGTGTAGTTGGAACAGAATTTACCAGTGGGTATCCACTTTGTGTGGCGGTGGTTGCCTGGGTATGTAATAAAGACTCCAGCACCCCCATTTTTAACCGCGCTGGTTGCTGATCCATCTGTGTAAATATGTATCCATGACTGTTCGGGATAGTTTTCATGAATCATGCTAAGAGCAGCTGTTCGTTTTTGAAGATCATTGGACTCATCTCCAGTTGTGAATCCATTGACTGAAGTCATTATCTGTATTGTATCACTGACTTGCTCCCAAGGTACAGGGTATAGGGTAGGTTTCAGCGGTGTTGTTCTAATAGGTAGATCAGCTTGGTACTGTCTTCTAAGTCTTTTCCCCCGATGGACAAAGCTGCTACGTTTGAGACGCCCTAATGCCAGATCATCTAACCTTTTATTCATTGGGTGTGACTGCATACTATTAAACTTCTCCATCTGGATCATAGTTTTAGTGTCTCTTCTATAGGACAATGTCTGCATTGCAGTTATTTTCTGCATCTTCTGGATTGGTGCAGTTTTCATGGATCCTGTGATGAGTCTAAGAGCTTGATTTTGCACTCTGTCTAACGATTGTAGGTGGGAATTATCAGCTGTTGACCATGCTGTTGCACCAAACTCCAAGTGGGGTCTTATCGCTCCATTATAAACTTTCTTTAGGGTTTTTCCATTTGCTCCCCATCCTGTACCTGCCAATTTTCTAAGTAGGCCTAGTCGTCTCCTGGCCTTCCCTTCTACATTTTCTATATGTTTGCTCCATGTGAGCCTTTTATCAAATGTTACTCCAAGATAAGTGGGGAAGCTTTCTTCCTTTAGCAAGGATGTTCCTAGGTGAATACTAGCAGCTTTGTCCCTGGTGGAAAGAGAGAAAAGCGTTGTGGATGTTTTGTCTGTGTTGATGGCAACATGCCATTTTTCTGCCCATGTCATCAAGAGATCTGCTGCTCGCTGCATTCTTATATTTGCCACTGTGGTGTGTTCATCGGTACACCAGAGTGCCAGATCATCTGCATACAGGGCAGCTTTTACTCCTGTAGGGAGGTCTTTCACCAGATCATTTATATACACAAGAAAGAGAGTTGGAGAGATAACTCCTCCCTGTGGTACTCCTTGCCGAAGTAACACTTTTCTACTCTGCTGGCCATCAAGACTGACTCTAGTTCTTCTGCTGTGTAAGAAGGATTGGATCCATTTTAGCATGTTTCCTTGGATTCCATTTCTCTTCAGTTTTGCAATGAGACCATCTTTCCAGACTTTGTCAAAAGCTTGTTTGAAGTCAACCCATACCGCCAGGACCTTTTTCTTCTCTTGGAAGGCATCCTCTACAGCTTGTGACAGGTAGGTGACTTGATCTTCTATGCTGTGACATTCCATAAACCCAGCCTGCTCTGGCACCAAGATCTGCTCAGATTCTAAGTGCCATTTCAGTCTTGAATTTACCATTCTTTCCAATGTCTTTCCTACACAGCTTGTGAGACTAATTGGGCGATAGCTCGAAGCCTGTGTCTTAATTTTTCCTTTTTTTAAAATGGGTATTGTGATGGCTTCTCTCCATACTTGAGGCACTAAACCTTTCTCCCAGCTGATGTTGAAAATTTCCAGCAGCTTTACTTTAGCAGATGAGGTCAGGTTGATTAGCATTTCGTTGCTGATTTCATCCGGACCTGCAGACTTTTTAAACTTAAGCCTAAAGATGGCATTTTGTAGTTCACCCATGGTAAATGGCTCCCTCATAGAGGCAGGAGTATCTGTCTGTCTCTTATTTGTTTGTTTGCTTGTTTGTATTTCTTTCCTTATTTCTCTCTGATGGTCCTCATTAAGGGTCAGGTTGCTTTCAACACTGAATGTTTTGGCAAACAAATCTGCAGCTTGTTTTCCTCTGAAGATTTTGTCACCATCACTTAGCGTGATTGTTTGTCTAGGCGAGAAACTCTCTTCATTGAGTGATTTGGCTAATCTCCAGAGTTTCTTGCCATCTTTATCAAGGTTTAGAGCTGCTGTTTTATTTCTCCAGCTTTTCCGTTTTTCTTCAAGTTTAGTTCTCTGGAACACTGCTACAGCCCTTTTCCATTTGATGTGGTTGTCAGGTGAAGGTTGGGATTCTGCATCCTTTCTAGTCTGATTCATTGTTTCCTGGCATTCCTGGAGTGTGCTGGACCAGTACGGTCTATAGTTGTGTCGACAGCCTCTGGGGATTGCTTCTTTTGCAGCTTGTAGAATACTTCTATTGAAATCGTGCACTATAGCATTGATATCCCTATTTTGTACCTTGAGAGCAGACAACAATGTGCTTGTCCTGTGTCTGTACAGGCCCCAGTTGGCTTTCTTGTAGTTCCATCTTGTGATGACTGGGCCTGTATTAACTGGTACATTCTGGACAGTGAGAAAAATCGGGCGATGGTCACTGCCCCCAAGCTGGTCTCCCACCTCTCTACTTATCATTCCAGATATATCTGGGGTAGAGAAGGCAAGATCTGGGGTCGACGTTGTCTGCCACCTTCTGGAGTAGAAGGTAGGCGTATCTGAGGGGGCATTTATCAGGATCAGAGAGTGGTCATCTTGCCATGTTTCCACCTCTTCACCCCTATTGTCGAGATGGTTATAGCCCCAGCTCTGTGAATGACTGTTGAAGTCTCCAACTGCAATAAAGTTGGTGTTTGGTACTGGCACAGAGCTGAGGTTTAGCGATTTGTCATTGGGACAGTAGTAATTAAGGAGTTCTAATTCCACTTTGTCTGTCTTAAGCTGCAGGAGTTGGTACTCAGCTCCATCCATATAAGACATTTTCTCGCATGGATGGATACTGTTTTTTCACAAGGGTGAGTACTCCTCCTTTTCGCCTGCCTTGTCTGTCAGATCTGAAGCACTGGTAGCCTCTCACTTTAAATATCTGATCTGCCTGCAAATGGGTCTCTTGGATGCAGCATACACTGACATGCTTTTCATAGAGGATGTTTTCCAGCTCCAACTTTTTGCTGTAGCCAGCCTGCTTACTGCTGACCCCCTCTGCATTCCAGTGCATAATGACAAAAGGCAATTTGGGATCTTTTCTGTCTAACTGGTTTTGGTCAGTAGCTATCCTCCGCCGTCTCCTGACTCCACAAGACGGTCTAGGAGGTCCTCCAGTAGCTGGGGGTGGATTCTGTCGAGGCTCAGAACCCGGCACTGCACCTGCCTGGTGGAGTTCCACAGGGCGAGCACCAACATTAAATTTGTCTGACGGTGTAAACATATATATAGCGTGGGGTTGCGTAGTACTGTGGTTTTTGATCCGCCTTCTGGCCCAGTATTTCCGACTTCAGGATCTCTTGGGAGGGAGAGTAGGCTCATCCCTTCGCCTTTACCTCGTTTGTTGTCCCATCCAGTTTCCCGCTGGGGGTTAAGACCCCAACCTTCAACTGGATTGCTGGGAAGAACAGGGTCCACCACGTGAAGGTGAGGTAGGCTTGAGCAAGAGAGGCTAATAGACATTAAGAGTCTTGTATTGCGCATCATTGCTCCATTTGGACCCCAGAAACGATGTGATTACAAGAATTATTGGAACCATACCCATCGTTAAATTTATTGAGAAGCAAAGAATGAAATGGTTTGGTCACCTAGTGAGAATGGAACCAACGATGCCAGCATCAAGAGCATACAACATGAAAATCGAGACACCAAGAGGCAGGGGAAGACCAAGAAGAATATGGATTGAAGGAGTCACGGACAACTTGAGACTTCATAACATCACGGCATATGAAGCGACTGAGCGCGCCCTGGCTCGGTTGCCGATCATCTGATAGACTGCGACGCCAAGCGGCACAAGCAGATTTTGACAAAAGAAGAAGAAGAAGTGAATCTTAGACAATTAATAAATAAGCCACACAATTTCTTGAGACCGCAGTGACGGGTTTTCTAAAAGGATCCTTATAATTCATTGGACAACCAAAAAGAGTTTTGAAAAAGACCAGGGCCGGAAAACAACTTATCACAAACATCAGAGACATTATCATTTTTAGTCATGCTATAAGAAGAACGAAAATGAAACATGCTGTGACCACTGAAAAGTTTTGTGGCAAGAGAGACAGATGAAGAAAGCGCAAGAAGATTCTTGTCAGCTTTTTGTCATGCCATGGAGAGGGGCCAACACACGAACTGATAGTCGCAGTTGCGGAGTTCAGTTCCTGAAAGAAATTTTTATTTTAGCTGCGCGACGTTGCAGAACCAACCCCACTTGGCAGTTTTACCTTCCGTATTTTGCAATTGCTTCCCGAAAGTCTCTCGATACCACTGTCTGAATCAACGCTATGCGGTCTACTGGCAACTCGCCTGCAGCTGGGATCGAAACCTTCACATGGGAATTACGAAGCTCAACGCCTAAGACACAAATGGCGAAATGATTATTAATTGTATAACTGCAAAAATATACACTGAAAACTCAATTATATCCCACCTTTAATCATTGGGATTGAACATTATATTTTTGTGAAAATTACACCAAGAGACGAGTTCACAACAGCGCCAGACAGTGTACAACCAAGACAAGGTTAAGTTAGTTGCGTATCCTTTACAGAGCGTTGCAGAACCAACGTCAACAGCCCCCCGACTGTTGTGTAGTTTTTCTAGGCAAATTTACGTCCAGTAGTTTGCTATTGTCCTGGACGGTCGGTTTCTTTGATACCACCGTCGAAACCAACGTAAGGCGCAGGGCCCGCAGCTGGGAACGAACCCGGCATCCCGACATTACGAAGCGTTCGCACCGACTTAGCCACAGAGCCGACACCAAGACAAGAGTGCCCGGCTCTCTAGCGAAGTTGGTTAAACCTGACTTTCGTGGTGGTCGGGTGACGAACTCCTTGTGGTCCGGGTTCACTCCCGGGGGTAGGCAGAAAAGCCTCATTTCTCCCAGATTAACGGTACCTATAATGGAATCAAGGCCGAAGGGTTGCGATATCCATAGTACCGAGCCAAAGGGTTTACAACTCATGGTTTCTGGATACGTTAAAAAAAAAAAAAAAATGGGGATCTATTGCAGTTAACCATCATTGTGGCGACGACACCTTATTGTTTGATGGAACAATATAGAGAGCACCTGGCAAGCGGAAACGTTTGGCTAATAGGAGCAAAAGGGAGCTAACCGCTGCAAGCATTTCAGGTGCTGGGATTATCGGGACCGACTTGTTGCCAATTTTCTAGACTTGTAAATAAAAACTTATGAACGTAATTATTTTCACCCATAAAGCCTGAGTATTAGACAGTCTCTAATCAGTATTTCTTTGATTCAATTGTGCAATAGCTAAACCGGCTGTTTTCGGTTGTGTTCTTTCGTACATGTGGCTTTTGTTTGTGTTTAATTTTTACACTGCTGTACTAACTCCACTAAGTCACTTAGCTAAGTACTACCACACCGGACCACAGATTAGATATTAGAGACGGTATTCTTGTCAACTTCTCTCGTCTCATCCCAGTTGCTAAGCCTTCTAAGTGTTCATCTCTTTAGTTCTCGAGTCCATTCATGCATGATTCATTCCTTCTTATAGTGATATATGAAAACATCTGCCATTGTCATCAACAAACTGAAAAAAGTCCGAAAAACACACTCTGTGGCACTGACGACTTGACTTTGACTTTATGACATCACGAGGTGTCAGCCTGTAACTGTAAGCAGTCGGGGGGGGGGGGGGGGATAAAAGATTATAATCATCATCTTTTTGACTGCTGAGGACCTAAGTTAAAACTCCACTGGCAGATGACAAAAGATGGAGAAAGGGAATATTAACTCTTTCAGTACTGAGTACGTTATTCTTCAGCATTCCGAGCTCTTGAGGTTCATTGCTGCAGATGTCATCCGCCTCCACTCATCTCTCTGATTGGCTTTCTGATTCTCTTTCCAGTTGGTGACACCAAGTGATTGCAGGTCTCTCTGGACATCTTTCAGTACCTGGCAGTTTTAGTAAAAGTTAAAAACCTCTGTTGACTGACTACACTGTGCTGAGGCATGATTGACCTCCTCGGCCATGTTATGAGAAGAGGGAAAATAGAATATGTTGTGACCACTGGAAAGATCTGTGGAAGGAGGGATATAGAAAGACAACGAGAGAAGATTCTTGACTGTCTTGTTGCATGGCATGGAGGTGTGTCGGCACACGAACTGATACATGCTGCAGGAGAACGTGGATTATGGAGAGGCATGATCGCCCATGCCAGTCGGCAAAGCACCTGATAATGATGACACTATGCTAGTCATACTCACCATTGCTATGGGTTAAGATTTTCAAGCCTACTTATATAACAGTATCTGGACATTTGGAAAGGTGCCAACATTCCTGTATAGTGTTATCAGTAAATATATAGTGAGTACACTAAGTAATTTAGGAGCTAAGCGGATGGTAGTTAGGAGCCGAGTAGATTGTAGTCAACATTGGGCTATCTTCCGAATAACAGTCCCAAATTATCGAGGCCGAAAATATACCCTAACAGGGCCTTAGTCAAGTGCGGACTTACGGTGACTTAAATTGCCCACATCTGGCGACTGCCGCCACCGCCGAGAGTATCTCCCATGCTGCTACGTGCGGCGTGGATTAGGGCTAAACTAGATGGCTGGGACTCACGAGCAGCAGCTACCGCATCTCCTGCAGCTTCCTTCATTTTATTTTCGGCCTCGATAATTTGGGACCGTTATTCGGAAGATAGCCTAGCCCAACATTGTTTTAGTTGTTGTTGTTAGTTGGGTATCCTTTACAGGACATTGCAGCTGAGAACCAACACCAGCATTGGCTGTTGTGGTTTTTCTAGGCACATTTATGTCCAATAGTTTGCCATTGCTTTCTGGATGGTCGGCTTCTCGATACCACTGTTGAAACCAACGCAAGGCCCGAAGCTGGGATCAAACTCGGCACCTAGCATTACGAAGCGCATGTGCAGCACCTTAGTCACAGACGCTGAGTTTATATTATGTTATTTACTGATGATTATTCCATTACAAAAAAATGTAAGGCAACTGTTGTTTGACTGCTTTCAGATTCAAGATCTAATTATGGGAACTTTACAGGAGGTTCAGACATTGCATGGCCATACAGACAGAGTCTGGTGTGTGTCATGGAGCCCCAGTGGGGCACTTCTGGCTTCCTGCAGTGGGGACAAGACCATTCGTATCTGGAGCAAAGAAGGTTTGTGGCCTTTGTTGTGTTTGTCTTTTAGTCCATGGCAGTGATCATTATTGTCATAAACATCTCCACATCCTTGTCTTGTGTACCATAAATTCTTCCTGATACAGATCATCATTGATGTTATGATGTCAAATTATCCACCATCTTTTCTTGGTCTCCTCCTCCCTTTACTTTCCTATTTTCTACATTCCTTTTGCTTTTTCCCCCCAACTGTAATGTATTTGTAATGTGCACATGAATGCTGCTAGTTTGATACCATATCTGATTTAGACATATTTCCATGGCGTGTGTGCGTGGTATCCTGATTGTTTTGGTGCACCTCCTGGCTGGTTATCTGCGACTTCAGCACCTTTTCTTGCTAGGGTAGAACAACAGTGGAACGTAAACTCTATGGACCACTGAATGAACTAACAACGACAGTAAAATTTATACAAGAGACAAAGCTGCTGATAAAGACAACTTATTTCAGGCGAACGAAAAGAAGAAGATACCATATCTAACCCCTGTGTTCATTCATTTTAATCCTCTAATGAGTGCCTTTAAGGCTAATGTTAGCTGTGATATTTCCATGAACTCGAGGGAAGAGATGGTAAGGATTAGGAAGACGATACAAGCTGGTGGAAAACAGCAAGACGTTAAGAAGACTGTCTAAGTGCTCTGTGAAGATGCAGGACACGGTTCTGGAGACTGCTTACAGCTAACCTTCACTGTGAAGATGTGACTTGATAACATTTAACTATTCTGGTGGCAGTCAGTTGTGACTTCAACAATGTCTAAGTAAGAGTGTATGAAATCTAGAGCAGCAGTCTCTTTGAGCCTCAGTAAAATAACATTGTAGAAATATTATGTTTTGTTATGTTAACTCTTTGAGTCCCAGAGGGTTAAGCATCCCAGGCCCTTTGGGTAGTGAAGAGAGACGTAAAATCGGCGCATCATGCGTTTACTGGGCTTCTAGGTAGAAACCTATGAACGTATGATGCGCTCCTTGGGACTCAAAGAGTTAACACTGTCGACCTCTGCATATGGGGCATTCCCATGAGTGTTTAGTCCCCCAAAACAGCAGCCACTCCAAAGTGCCTCTACTAACTGTTCCCTTGTGGAGCTGGTCTAAAAGGCGGCATAGACATGCTTCACTGTGCTTTACTCCCAGGTCTTGCAGTCATCTTAGTGTCAGAGATTCATCATTATCCACTAATGTAGTCCGTACAGCATTGAGACTTTCTGCTATGTCCATGCTTCTTCCCACATGTGTTGCTGCATTGCCTGCCACTTGGTCCACTCGTTCATTGCCTTTCACGATGGCATGGCCAGGTGTATAGATTCAGGGAAGGAAGGCCAAGTGTGACTTCTGAATGCTTTCTACCTATCTTCTCATGTGCTCCAGGATTGTAGAAATATGGAGCAGGATGAGTTTATGTAAACACCACTGTAGACATAACAGACATAACAGAATTGTGCAACAGAAGGAAGTTAGGCTGTGTGTGTCATATATAATCATAATAAACATTAATTCTTCATTCATTTTCCTGTTGTGCCATTTTGTGTCACTTAAGGCTTGCAATCTTTTTCTCCATTCTGTTCTGTCCTGTGCAATCACCTCGATATCATGGATGAAATCTAGCCCAGCAGCTTTGGCCTCTCTCATCAACGTTCACCTTAGGGTTTCTCTTGGATGTCCTTGTGTCCTCAGTCCATTTATTTCCTCAGAGTGTGATCAATATAGCACCATCTTCTCTGTCTTATAACCATTGATACTACTGGTTGCTCAGACATTTCTCTTATTTCTTCACTCCTCTTGATATTATCTAATGTTATGTTCATCGTTTTCCTCAGGCATTTGTTTTTTTTGAAAATACATAACTTGGTTCTAAAACTATATAATTTAAAGTTCCATATTTTGTTCAGGTTTTAAAAGCTGCTGATGCCTTGCCAAAGCGGTTCATAATTTCTTTCTTTGAATTTATTTGACCATCAATGTAACTACCTAAATAAGTAAACTGTACTGTTACTTTAATGCGTTTTATCTCTAGTATTACAGCCGTAATAAATATACAGTGGGTTATCTGGTACTTAAATAGTTAAACTAAACTGTTTGGTGAAGTAAAACCACTTGCTTCACTCTCTGAAGATCATGAATTCATTCAAGGCTCCATCTTTTGGGTCTCTCTTAGTTATCATTGGTGTTTTGTGTTTAGTGAGATGCTCTTGAAGGGGCAGCAGCCACTCTGTCGAGAGAGACTGGGCCATGTGGAATAAAACCCAGTGCAGTGAAGCCAGTCTTCTTTCTTTTAAGCGCCGTTTTCTTCTCCTTCCACATTCACACTCAAAAGAGTGATTGACACATTGTGTTGTAGTTTACAGCTGGGCTGTGATTTCAGCATTCTTCTTCAACTTTGCATTCACTGGATCTGAAATTAAGCAGACAGTTTTGGTTGTTCATCTTTTTCTGGACTTTAATCCTGTTCCGGAACTTGAGTTTTGCATGCACATCTATTTTACCAGTCTGGCTTATTTGTAGGCAAACTTTTGGTTCCTCATTTCTCAGGCAGATGCACTCTGACTTGGAATGATACATATCCCTAATTAGTAGACTCTTACAACATGCCTGTTAGGAGTGCAGTGGATCTATTCTTTTCTCCCCATTACAGTGGGGCCCTGAACCCAAATGGGAACTTGAATTAGTTGCCTTTCACAACATATTGGGGGGGGGGGGGGGGGGGGGGGGCTGTTCTTTTTCCCACAGTATGGGCCCTGGAACCCACATGGGGGAAACTCTTGTTTAACTTTTAAAGTTTTAAAAGATGTTTCTTAATTCTATGCTGACTTAAATTTTGGCTTTCAAAGTGTGTTTTGTTTTTCAAACTCAGGGGACGAATGGATTTGCAAGTCTGTACTGACAGATGGTCACACCAGAACTGTGCGCTCTGTGTCATGGTCACCGTGTGGTCAGTACCTGGCTGCAGCTAGTTTTGATGCCACCACTAGTGTCTGGAGCCGTAAATCTGGGGAGTTTGAATGTTTGGCCACACTTGAAGGTCATGAAAATGAGGTCAAGTGTGCAGCATGGTCTTGTACTGGGAGTCTTCTTGCAACCTGCAGCAGGGATAAGAGTGTGTGGATTTGGGAAGGTTGGCCAAATTTCCTTCAAAAAATAAAAATAAATTAATAATGAATGAATAAGGCACTAGAACAGAAAATAACTATATGTTATGTGCTTTCTCTGCAAGATGACCAACAACACAAGAAGGAACTGGGTTACGAATACCAGTATTAGAGAGAAAGTTTGAATAAAACCATATCTACATTATATTGACAGAATGAAAGAATGAAATGGTTGGGCCATCTAGTGAGAATGCAGACAGACCCAACTGCATATGAGACTTTGTTGGTAAAACATCTGGGAGGAAGGCTTGGGGAAGACTTAAAAAGAGGTGGATAAATGGTGTGGCTGAATCCTGCAAAATGATAAACAAATCCACCATCCATGCCACCCGAAAAGTGCAAGACAAATACAGAAATCACGACATAGGGATACAACCTGGTATCAGTTAGACGACAAAAGAAAAAAAAGGGTAATATATTTTAGAGAATAAAAAAGCTTTTATCATATTCGCTTTTGTTTTAAAAATTCAGCATCAAGTGACTTGCTGATTGGTGTAGGCCATCATGCCTCTCCAAAACAGGGCATCAGTAGCCTGTATCTGTTCAAGGGTGTCAAGGATCTTCTCATGTTGACTTCCTCTGTTTCTCTTTCCATGAATCTTTCTAGTGGTTACCACTAGTCCAGTTTTTCTCTTCTCCTAACCTAGCCACACAAAAATGATGATTGTCTACATGTTCTACCACCACCATATCTGTAATTTCCTGCAGTTCTTTCTGACTTGACACTATCGAGACAATGTCACTAGGTTAAACACAGGTTATTTATATTATGACCAACAGTCCTGAATCTGGGTATTTCCGTTACAGATCTCATTATATTTTTTTTTTATGCAGCCTTGTTTGAAATGAGTAAAGCAATAAACCTATTTCCACACCTAGAGACATTTTGAGCATATGGTGCCAGATCCTCAGTGGCTTCCCGGAAACTATTTGGGGGGTGGGGTGCAGTTGGTCTAATAGAGTTAGATCGCCAAGCCATATAGAAGAGACAGGTTTTCTGCCTGCAAGCCATATAGCAGAGTTATATGCTCTGCCTGCAAGCGTCGCTATGATGATTGTTGATGTACAGATCTTCCTGGAATTTGCCATCTTGCTTTTCATCTTTTCCCACTTTTCCTTTTTTTTTCCTACTATCCCTATTCTCCTTCTCTGTCTCATCCTGTGTTGCATCTCTCACTGAAGCAGAGACCCCCCACAAACTGATAGCAAGCCTTTTATCAACTTTTTCATTCCTGGTTGGATTTTTTGGCTACAGTTTTCTACAGGTTAAGGTAGCCAGTCTCACACCAACCCCCTCCCCGTCTTTTCTTACGACAAGCAGGACAGTTTACGCCAGGGCTGTTCAACCTGTGGCTTGCAGATCATTGCCAGTTGAATTGTGTTTAATGATTTTTCTAAGCTGTGGCAAGGGCCTTTGGCCCGTGATAAACCCCATTTTCACAATTTTGTCTCCAGAGTAATCTGAATTGAAAAACCCTGGTTTACACCCTTACTTATGTTTCCTTGAATAATTTACACCTTACTCATCTTTCCTTGAAAAACCCTGGTTTACACCCTTACTTATGTTTCCTTGAATAACCGTGGTTTACACCCTTACTTATCTTTCACTTTGCAGACCCCTTACAAGTGTAAACCAGTGAGAAGTTATTACTAGCTGATGTGATTCAATGTTTTATTTGTTTGTTTTTCCCTCCAGTTAGTGCAGATGAAGAGTTTGAGTGTGCTAGCGTGCTGTCAACACACAGCCAGGATGTCAAGCATGTCCGGTGGCATCCCAGCAAAGAAATCCTGGCATCTTGTGGCTACGATGACACCATTCGTTTGTTCCGAGAAGCTTCTGATGATTGGGAATGTTGTAATACGCTGAAAGGTCATCAGTCAACAGTCTGGTCTATCGATTTTGATAAAACTGGGTCACGCTTGGCATCATGTAGCGGAGATAAAACTGTTAAAATATGGCAGGAGTATGAGCCTGGCAATCCGGAAAGTGTTGCAACTGAAGATAACATTTCTGCATGGAAAAATGTCTGTACGATCGGGGGTTATCATGAGAGACCTATCTACGACATTAGCTGGTGTCATCTGACAGGCAACATTGCTACAGCGGGTGGTGATGATAGTCTGTGTGTCTTTCAAGAACTGCCATCTCCAGATCCAAAAAACCAACCTCATTTTGAGTTGGCAGCCAGGGCAAGAGCAGCACATGGCCAGGATGTGAACAGTATTGCATGGAATCCAAAGCAAGAAGGACTCTTAGCTTCCTGTAGTGATGACGAAACAGTCAAATTGTGGGCGTTATCAAAAGATTAAGTCTATTTTTATGTTACATTTTTAACGTTCACAGTAGGGTTTGCATGGAAGCACTCAGATTTTTTTTCCTTTAAGGCACTTTTCAGGTTATTCAAGCATGTTGCTGAATTTAAAAAAATCATAAGTTTGAGAGGCAAAATTTTATTTTTTGAAATGGTCTTATAATGGTTTTTAAGAAATTATTTATTTATATGTGTGCATCTGTATATGACACTGCAGTAACACTAAACAACATCAGGGCCAACAAAACATGTATAAACTGTGCATGAAATTTCAACAAAGAGTTAGTAGATAGATCTCTAGTTTCATATAATAATTCTAGTAATAATCTGTAATTCTGTCAAGTGATTTTGGATTATCAGAAACTGAATTATCATCAGTCAGGCATTTATTTGTTGTGCAGCCCTAGCATGATGGGATGAATTCAAGAAAGAGAACAAATCAGAGAAATGTCAGGACAGCCACTGGTATCAAACTTAGGGGGTAAATTTTAGGCCTGGAAACAAATGGATTAAAACCCTTCAGTAAATGTCAATGAGAACTGCCATAGTTGCGGACTGGATTCCATACACGATATCAAATGATTGCACTGGATTGAATGGAGTGAAGGATTAACTGCAACCTCTTTGTGGCATATATAGACAACAGAACAGTGACGATAATGACCTCAGCATGAAGCAACATTTTGAATTTACACAGTATAATAAAGAAGTTGGCATATATTGATTGGCACTAATAGAAAGAAGTAAAGAGTTAGTAGGATGACATACTGACAGCACACGAATGGAAAGCTATGGTTGGCATAATGGTAATCAAACCTCTTCCAAATAACAACATTGCCATGATGCAGGTTGAAGTTTACTTTGATGCATGAACAACTCGGCACATCTGAGAAATGTTACAAATTTAGACACATTTTAAAAATAGTGTGGTTAAGGAGTTGACTGTCTGCTTCACAAAGCATATTGCTTTAGACTAATTTTTCTGCTGCTTAAATTGTTTGGTGTGTGTTTGTTTTGTTTGTTACAAAATTCTAACTAGCACATAAGATGAAAACTGCTAGGGAAGTAATCAAGCAGACCCAGTTGTAGAAGGTGATTGTGCCTTCATATAATCAGATTCATTGATTCTTTGTACCTATGACTCATTATTTATATTTCACATACTGTATGAAATTTACTTACGAAGCAGAAGTCTCATGAAAAAAGGGATTTGGACCATGCACAAATGGTGAATGTGTGATGTGGTTTAAGGTTTTTGTTTTGTTTTATGAAAATAAAAACAGAAAATATCATTAAGTTTGGCTTTTTGTTTTTAAAACTATTATAAGAATTTAAAATGATTATATGTCTTTAAGTGATATATCTATTTACTGTCCAGAGCCAGATCATTTTCATACACTTTCCATCTACTTTCATTTGCAAGTATTCCAAATAATGGGCCTTGGTAGCAAGATAATAAGGGTCTCTCTCCATGGAATAGCCTATCTGGGTTTCCCGCCAACATTCCTAAAGTTGTTTGGTCTTTCCATAGGCATAAAGCTAAAATGCTAGCATTTTACACCTCGCTGGTTGCTTTTCTTGGATAAGGAAAGTACAATTTTGCAGTGAAGTCCCATGGGAATGCACATTTGATACTGGCTTTGGTGGAGGGATGCCTAACCTCGTAAGTTTTTTTTTTTTCATGCTTAGTTCATTCACTCATAATGTATCAGCTCCAGAATTAGAACATTTTCTGTAAACCAACACCAAATGAGTAGCTATTGAAAAAATATGTGCCATTAGTTGTGAACTCTTTACAGGAGCTTGCAGAACCAATTCCATTAGCTCAGTAATTTGCCACTGCTTTATGAACAATCAGTGCTCCATACCATTGTCAAAATCAATGCAAAGCAGTCTGCGCCCATATTGTCTGCAGCTGGAATTGAACTGGGTATTTCTGAATTAACAAAGTGTGTTTGCAACATCTAAGCCACAGCCGCTGTCTAGTGGCATCAGAGAAGCTATCAATTTGTTTATGAATTGTAGGTAAAATATATATTCTTCCTCCCCATCATTTATCAGATATTTTGGGGAGGTTAAGACATAACTTGCGCATTTGCAGAAAACTTAGCTGCAATATTTGCATTTTTTTAGCCAACTCTTAAAATAATTTAAAGAATAAAATTTGTGTAGATAAAAAAAAAAGCTTAAACAGATTCTAGCAGTAAAAGCCTCTCTCTTCTTCTTACCCTCTTGCTTGTTCTTGTTTTTCATCCACTTCTAGACTTAAAAGTCTTGTTCCAGTACTTAAGTTTTGCTTGCACATCCATTTAACAGATTCTGGCTTATTTGTAAAAAGAATGTTGGTTCCTCGCCTCTTAGGCAGATGCACTCCGACTTTGAAGGAAACCCCTGATTGGTCAAAGTTTATGACATGTTTGTTAGGGGAGCAGTGGGTCTATTCTTTTTTACTCCCCGAAATAGGGCCTTGAACCCCCACATGGAGGACATGAAAAGACACTCACATCGTTACAAAATATAGGATTAAAAGAAAGAATATCATATTTAGCTGGCAATCTAGTGGCTAGACTCTCGGCTGCGGATCCAAAAGTCGTGGGTTCAGTTCCTGAGGAGAGCTAGATTTTTAAAAAAATGACCTTGGCTTCCAGGTCGACCCAGCCTTGAGTGGGTACCAGGTACAGTCCTGGGAAGTGAAGGCAGCAGCCGTGGTGCTGACCACATAAACCACCAAGTGTTTGATGTATTAAATATAGGTCTTGCCCTAAATACCCAATATTCCTGAAAGCGTGGAAATGGGTCCTTTAATTTTATACTGAAAATAAATACAAACAATTAAACACATCTAATTATTTCATATTGGAATGAAAAAGGAGCATGGCAGAGATGTAAGTTTTTCCCTTTGACTTTTATGCTGAAATAATGTTTAAACAAGAATAGACTCGGCTGAATATCAACAAAAGAGGATTAATCTAAGAAATGTTGACAAACAGAAGGTTTTAGAGAGACTGGGAGTTAAATTAGTCCTAGTCCTTTTGAGGAAAAAAAAAAATAAAAAGCTCGACCACGTTCTGACTGCTGCTAGCAGTCTCCACCTATATTTGTGGTCTGGGTTATTTGCGTCACTTTCATGACTGAATTCTAGTGTTTGTGCCATTTCTGGGCTTGATGCTTCCATCTGGGAGTTAAAATAGTGTTGCGGGAAGAATGGAGCAGAGGCCGACCTCCAAGACGATTAATACATACAGTACATGACATTGAAGATGCATTGGTTATGAAAAGCATACATGGAAAGAGAAGAAGGAAGTAGAGCACGAGGTAGACCAAGAACAATATGGAAGGATAACATCAGAGAAACTCTACAACAGCACGATGTGCCTATGGTCGAGGCGGCCAGAAGAGCTAGAAACAGAACCTTATATCTTCCTCGACACCCACAGCGGTAAAAGAGGAAGTGAAGAAGAAGATTGGTTATGAAAGCACACAAGGCTGGAGAAATGATTAAAGTCGGAGATTGTCAGGTTTGTCATGACAAGAGCGACGTTATGTAAAAAACCCGCTGACTGAGGATAGAAGTTTAAACAACGGACCCACACCGTTCTTCTTCTTCTAACTCAAGTCTGCGTCTGAAGAAGCTCAGCACAGTGCACATACTCTGTAGCACCGGCGAGGATCCTGAAATACTTTAAGTAGATTTTTAACTCTAAATTTTGACCGGCAAGGGCGTTAGACTACTATTTTCGATTGCCGAGGGATTTTTTACGTGCGCAACAATGCACACGGACGCCCGATCTCACCAACCAGGGGCAAATACTAGAAGTCCAAGTCTACGTGAAAAAAATCCCAGCCCTTACCGGAGACTGAACCCGGAACCTCCAGCACTCGAGGCGGACACCGTGTCTCGAGACCACGCTTCCCCCCCCCCCCCCCCGGCCCCCCACCTGACTGATGATAAAGAGGTTGAAAGAAATCGATGACAAGCAATATCCTGCAGCCATGTTTAAACTCTTTCAAAAAATGCACTGAGAAGAGGGGTCGAAAGAAGGCGAGCAAGAGACAGACAGCAATACAAGTGGAATTTGTAATAAAGAAATAGACGAACAGCAGTCTACGAGTGTGCAACCAGGGTGAGAAGCACAGTATGTTGGAATTCTACTGTAGCCAGCCCGTGGAGACGGAAACCGGACTGAGAGATTCAACACAGCAGGAGAACATCTATATGTGGTTAAGGGAAACCGATTAGTCATCTTGCTAATTTTCTGGGGGTGAGGGTTCAACCCATCTCCAGTGCTGTCTTAAAGCATTGGCCCTCTGCGCACTTGCCCGGGGGCCCACGAGCATAATCTCTATATGTCAGGTGACTTGCCAGATAAGAAGTTCGTAGTATAATTTCATGCTGTGCCATTTAACCTGCGTATATGTTTTAACATCAGTTTTGTTTAAGTGTCAGTAAAATATATATATTTTCGATTATATCAACCATTTACATTTCTTGCCTGTGGTAATTGACTTTTGGACCCCGGCACAAAGGTTCTAACCAGGGGTCCATAATGTTGTTAAGACTTGTCTGTCCCCTCCACCCCAGCTCGGTGGTCTGCGAAACAAATTTAAGGGGTCAATGTTATCATCTATGGATCATGTTACGTTGAGGGGGCAAACCAAAAAGCAATGAGAATGAAGGAAGAAATGGTTGTAGAAAGGTTGAGAACTGAGCGCCTGAGAAGAAACACAATGAAAACATATAATGACAACAACGGTCTTGAAATTCCATTCTCTAACTGGGGTCGACTTTAAAGGTAAGTCTTGGATTGTGGATCCCATGTCTCTTCATGGCACAGTATAACACGACAAGCTCCCAACCGTAATACTAAATGTTCCACTTAAACCTTACAACGACTGCCCCCCCCCTTTTTTTTTTGGCTTAGGGATAGCCTACCAACAGTCAGAACCATTGTAACATGGATCTCCTACAAATCAACAATGAGCAGCACTGATATGAAATCAACTACAGAAGGAGAGATCAATAGACTTTATCCACACCAGAGTTGGATTCGAGTGTATACATATGGTTCAGCCAAGAGAGCAGTAAGAGACGGAGGAGGAGGAATATACATAGAATGCCCAAATAGTTTAAAAATCAACCAGGCTGTACCAACAGGTTCAAATTCCTTCAATTACAGAGCAGAGACAGAAGCACTTCTAGCGGCATGTTCTTTCCTGAATGGACAACAGCGCAGCAAATATAGCAGCGTGGTCTTTCTGACTGATGCTATGTCAGTTCTACAAGCAATTGTTAACCCAAAAGACACTCAGTTTGTAGACTTGATGCAACAGCTGATTTACTTAGGCTCTTCAGTAGAACAATCTGTACTGCTCCTCCGAATTGTACACGCTTTCCCACAAGGCATTAACCACATCTGCCCTATCATGTATCAGTATTCCACCAAGTTGTGCAGAGCCAGCCAGTCTGTCCGCCTGTTCATTTCCCAACACACCGGCGTGACCAGGTGAAAAAATCCAGACAATACTCCTCACTCGTGTCCACTCTGCACGGAAAGGTGCCGACAAGATATAACCCCCCCCCCCCTCCCCCCCTCTATCTCTCTCTCTCTCTCTCACTAAAACTCACCACACGCGCGCGCACACGCATGCATACGCGGTCACATACCTCAACTCTCTTGTCCGCGGGTCTTATATAATTAATTTCGAACCAATGGTTTACAATGGTTTATTTCGGCATTATCGCATGATGATGATGGAAGTCTTGGTGTCAAGGGAGGTTACTGTGAGAACTATCTCAGCAGACGAAGGGTCATTGAATGGTGACTGGCGACAGGGGGTAAGTTTTTGTTTCTAGAGATACATGGTGGGTACTCGCAAGTCTTTCACAGACCTCTACTGTATCGGTGTTCTTTTCTCCTTTTTCCTTTACTTCTAATGCGCTGGGCTGTATACGCTGGTCTTTATTTAATATTGCTTTTTAACTTTAAGGCTGTTCTTGATGTCCTCGTTCCTCGTTTGCATTTCTTCTTCTTTCCTTCTTTCTTTATTTCTTCTTCTTCTTCTTCTTCTTCTTCTTCTTCTTCTTCTTCTTCTTCTTCTTCTTCTTCTTCTTCTTCTTCTTCTTCTTCTTATTCTTCTTCTTCTTTACTTTCCCCAGTTGCCTCATCGAAGTATTGGGGGCGATGCACAGATCTTATGTTCTTTTCTAACGCGGGGTGGGTGGGTGGGGGGGGGGGGGGTTGTTGTTAGACCCACAGTCCCTTCACAAGCACATCGTTAGTGTCGACTAATTTTAAATTTCCTTCAAAATCGGAGTGACTCTACCTGAGTGGGAGGGAACCAGCATTCTACATAAAAATAAGCTATGTCTGTAAAACGAGGCTAAGGCTGTTCTTGATGCCATAATGCCACCTGTTGCATTGGTTCACTTTATCTTCTTCTTCTTCTTTTTCTTTTTCCAGTTACCTCATTAGTGTGTTGATAGGAGATGTTAAAAACTGTCTGTGTACTTTTCTAATGCATTGTAGTTAATAGTAGTTAGTCTGCGTGGTTATGTGGTCAAGCCGTTTGCCTCACTCTGATGATCGTGGGTTCGCCATACAACTGCGCCTTCAGGTCACAAGTGCAATTTTTACAGAGTTCCTTGGGGATTGTCACCGGACCTACAGGGTTTGTGCTCTGCGCGACACTCTCAGTAAGAGGCTAGCCTTTCTGCGAAGTGAGACTGCACCATATGGGATAAAACCCGATGCAATGAAGTCGATCCTCTCAACTTTAACCTTAACCTAGTTGTATATGTTCATCTATCTCGGAGCCAGGGTAATTATTTTAAAAATCCTACTGTGGATTTTAGCACAAGACCTTCAAACATTAAGATGAGCATCTACCTGCTACACCATCACAGCTCCCTTATGGCATCTTAAACTTGAAAATTTAATGCATCACATTGTTGCATTCACAGCACTTGTGTTTGGCTGTCATGCTTCAGAATAAGCAACAAAAGGGTGGGGTGAGAAATAGGACATGCCCTGAGTGCTGTGAAAACATGCTAGTGTGTGTTCCTGCACCTAATGCTGACTTGATGAGATTAGAGAATATAAAGAACAATGTTAGTGATGAAGTTAGAGATAATTATCCCTAATGCTGTTAAAAGACATAAACAAACACTGACTTCTGGTCGTTATGGAGCATAGGCAGGTTTACTGTTTTTAGACGAGTAAGTATCTGATTCTGATAAAAGTTGGCCATTGCATTTTTCTCCATATGTAGACTCTAAGGATATTGTTCCATCATCCAGCTACTGAGTTGTTGATTTTATTTGAAACGCTTTTCAGCTGGGCCCAACATGGTTTGTGTTGTGAACGGTTGATACAGAAAATGGTGAGTGCCCTGTTGCCACAGAACTGGTAGGGCCTTATATGATTAACTATGTATAAAACTGCTGATCTGTTGTAACTTCTGCTACCAACGATGATGAACTGCGTTTTTAGCGCTGGACAGTTTGTGCTGCACTTCTTATGACTGCCTTTTGCATTTAATAAATATGTATGCGACTGGATTTGCTACGACTGCAGTCTGTGCCACTTCTACCGCAAGGATGAGTGATGGGCATTAATTCTGCTCATGGTTTTCATTGGCACAGGAACAGAGCAGCTGTGAGGTGATCCGTTTGCTATGAAGTTGGAACTGCGATTACCTGATTAACAAACACTGCTGTTCTGTATTCACCAGGGTCTGGCAATATGAGGTTATTGAATCCCTCTTCAGCTTTGTTTGGCAAAATTCCAGCCTGGTTCGCATCCTTCAGCTGCAGTCCTTGGCCAGCTAGTTTTTCTTCAGTTATTAAACCAAATATCCTTAGCCAAACTCTTGCCTACAAACCTCAGTTAAGTCAGAAAAGATGTATCTTCAAGTCCAGTAGAAAGCACAAATGTTGGCAACGTAAGACTTGTAAAAGTGAAACAGTTTGCCAAATGGTTTCCCTGCCATTCAGCACCAGCAGCAGATGGGAGTGTCCACCTTCGAGTCCACTCCTAGGAGAAGTTGACAGATACCAAGGAGTTTGGGTGGACTTATCCAAGACTGGAATTGACAGACCTAATGTTGATGAGCTGTCAGAGGAGGACTTTGACAGATTGTTGAAAGGTAGTCCATTTTGTATCTACTTTTATGTTGTGTTATGAAATATTAAAGAAAAGATAAAGGTATTCCCATTGCATGTACAGCACTAAATTGAAATGAAGTTCATAACACATTTTGTTGTAATGATGGCGAGTCATGAAAACAGTGGAGAATCGAAAGTGAAAAGGGATAAGCAAAAAAAAAAAAAGCAACACAAATGAAGTCTGCTTAAACCACCACTGATTACTATCATTATGAAGGCTACAAGACTGCTGTGGTTGGGGAATATAGAGAACAGCAGTTATCAGAGAGGAAATAAACTGTGTACATAAGAACTGTGTGGGATTAGACCATGAGGCAGACCAAGAAGATGGTAGAGATATAAGACAGACTCACAGACACTTGGAGTCGCCAGCTGCTGGAAAGAGAAGGCTAATCAAAGGGGTGAAGAGAGGGGGTGATATCTGCAACAAGAGCTTGGAATGTTAAAGTAGAAGAAGATGTGTAGTCATGAGTTATCACATAAATTTATTATGAAACTAGGTTCCTTTCAACACCACTTGTACTTCACATTTTGACTTGAGATTTCAGGAAGGGATACTGGGTAATTGTTTGCCTGGTTCATTCTCATTAACACCTATGCATAGAATTGTTTTAATGTAAAAGCCGTTAGTTACTGGTTATATGACTTTCTCTTTAGCATGTTGGGAAGTAAGATATTGTTATACAAAGCTGTAACCTTGTATGTTTTCATCATTATTCTTTCTACTGAATGTCTCTCTCCTCATTACTTTTTAGAAAGACATGATGTTTTGATAGTTCTCTGAAGCATTTTCCTGACTGGAGTGTCTTTCGTGTCCTATATCCACCTTCATACTTAGCAACTGTCCTTAAATGAACCAACTTCTTTTTTTTTATTTTTCAGCATTTCAATCCTTTGAGATTCATTGCTGCAAATGCCCCCCCCCCCACCCCCATCTCTGTGAACGACTCCTTTCATTATTGTTCATTCTAAACCTCTGGGACCTTTCTGCCCTAGGAAAGGTTTGACTAAAAAGTGTTTTAAATGATCAACTGCATTGCACCAGATTCAAGCTCATAGGGTTTGGTCTCTGTCTGTAGAACAACTGGCTGCATCACCCTACACACAGACATATCCACCAACAGTTCTTAGGGAGCTCCCAAAAAAATTGCCTCTATGAAGCAAACAGTCTTTCTGAAAACTGATCAGTGGCCAAGTGGAAAATGGATGAAGTGCAAGACTGAGCACTTGAACCCCAGTTCAAGTATTATATCATAATAATAACTGTCTTTGCTACAGACAGTTATGAAATTATTTGTACAATTTTTAATCTGTGTATAGTTTTAAATCTATATACAATTTTTAATCATATACAGCATCCCTGGAAGTATGGAAAGGTCAAGGAATAACTAGCGTCTGGCTGCATGTGAGCATGTCTCTCGGCAGACTCCTTCCTGTAGCCTCCAAGTATGGCTTTGCATTTCATCATGCTGAGGGTGGCCGGGCCACGTTAGTTTTATGGCTGAGTGCAGGTCAGGAGAGCAGAATCCCCATCTTTGCAACTCATCAGGTTGGTGTGTCAGGTAATGTCTTTCTTGTTGTTGTTGTTGTTCTGCTTCTTCTTCTTCTTTTTCTTCTTTTTTTTCTTTTTCTTCTACTTCTTCTTCTTTTTCTTCCATGTTCTTTCCACTTGAAGTGTTATGGCAGCATTTAAATCTAAGCTGCATTAGCTGTGCCTTTCGGGCCAACACATCTGATTTCAACAAGCCCCTAATTAGTGGCCTTTTATGACATGCTTGTTAAAGGGCGTCCGCAGACACTTAGGCGTCTGTGGCTTAGGCATTGCGAATGCACTTTGTAATGCCGGGGTGCCGGGTTCGATCCCAGCTGCGGACAGTTTGTCTTACATTGGTTTCGACAGTGGTACCGAGAGCTGACCATTCAGAAACAGTGGCAAACTACTGAACATAAAATGTGCCTAGAAAAACTACACCAGCCAAAAAAATGCTGGGGTTTGTTCTGCAACGTCCTGTAAAAGATACATGACTAACTTTGTTAAAGGGCAATGGGTCAGTCTATCCCCTCCATTAGTGGAAGTCAAGAACACACACAAGAGAAGTGTAATACAATTGAAGTTTATATTCTACAACACAGTATTAGCAGCCTTAGAGCAGCATTCAACAGAATATTTCAGGAATCCAGAAGGATGGTAATACAATTGATTATTCTGTTTCAGTGCAGTATTCCTGAAAATGAAAAGGCAGTCAGTTGAAAAAAAAAAAAAACACCAATTAACAACTTTTGAATGCAACATTTTGTCCCTAAAGTCTGGAAGGAAGGCCCATAACCTGAGAATTCCCAAAAAATGCTTTAAAAAATTCAATTTTACACAAGTGAATAAAAAATAAAATAAAATAAAAAAAATAAATTTAATTGTATACATTGAATATATTATTATTGTTATTAAGTAAGAAGAATATGAAAATAACCCGTTCATTTCCAAGGAACTCATCAGACGTTCGTAGGTTTCTACAAAGTGAGGGCGAGAGGCTCCGATTTTACATCTCTGTTTACTACCCCTTGGGCCTCTGATGCTAAGTTGCCTGGGACTGAAAGAGTTAATATGAACAAAATGTAGAATTAAATGGAAAATATACCCTTGGGCCTTCACTTCAGAATATATTGGGTGACTCATACCATCACTGGGTCACTGGGTCGCTGTGCAACCACTAAGATAGTTATTTAAAAAAAGCATTTTTGCCAGTCTTTCCACGGCACACTGCAAAGAAAAAACTGTTATGTAACAATGCAATGATGATATTGGAATTTTTACCATGGCAGAAAACTAGTGGAGCTGTGATATGGCATTGACTAGATGCTCACCTGCTGGCTCAGAGGTCTGGGGCAGGGCTAGTCAGCTAAGTTTACTCAGGGGCCAACATTTTTAAAATGGGCATCGTCATGGGCCAGTAGGCCCGAGCTCCAGCTTAGAAAGATCATTAATATAATGCAACTGCCAAAGATCTGCTGGCCGCTTGCTAGTCCTCTGCTGGCCAGATTTGGCCCGCAAACCACTAAGTTGAATAGCCCTGGTCTAGGGTTTACATTTGCATTGAGACAGATTGTGTTTTTGTGTGTGTTTTTTTAAAATTCGAAAATGGCGTTGGCTCCCCAGTCAGCCCACCCTAAACAAGGAGTCAGGTAAAGTCCTAGGCATTAAAGGTGGCTGCGTAATGTTGACCACATCACCCACCAAGTGCCAGTTTGTCTGTAAAATAAAGGTCTAGCCCTAAATGCCCATAACACCTGAAGGCATGGAAAAGGGTCCTTTACTTTACTTCTACCATGTGTCCAGTTAGACAAAAGCATGAGAAGAATCATTTTTTAATTGTTGATGCTTAAACTTCTTGACAGCTATCATCAGACAGTGATCACAGGTACCAGTGTCATTCAGAGGCAACATGTTAATACATATTTTCAATCCTATTGCTTTTTTGAACCATGCAGTTTTCTTGTTTCTTATCTGTATTGACCTTTTTTTTTTTAACCATATTGGTGGTGATATATTTGTCTTACTGCAGGCATTGTCATTAATGAAAACACATGGGAAGTGTTAGTCGTACAGGACAAGAACAGACCTGTGAGTGTTTCCTCTGTGGTTTCTGCACATTTGAACATTTTCTGACTTTTTCATTTTCACATTTCTGATATTTAGAGGCAAGATTTTGTTTCAGAAGCTGAATTATTTTGGCCATATGGCCCATGGTGAAAACAACAAAATTAATACCAGAAGACATGGTACCAGGTAGGAGGGGCTGGGACCCACGAACAGGAAGGTGAACAAAGGATATAAGTGTCTCCTTGGATGTGAAAGTGCATGAGGCAGGAGAGCTGGCAAGGTACCAAGTTTCATTTTGGGGAACCATGATGAGAGCAACATTTTGCATGATAGTGATGATGATGATGATGATTTTTAACAAGTTTACTGCCTTGGTGTATAGGAGCAGACACACAAAGTCTGTAATTATGTGTGTAAGTGTGGTTTGTATGCATTCACATTCACTGGATGGTGGGTGTGAGGGAGAAAGGGATAATAATAAAGGGATACAGGGATAAAGAACAATAAACAAAATTGGGACCAGGAACCCACAAGGGGATTTTGGTACTTTGTTTGAACTCCACCTCCTCCTCCAGTCATATTCTGCCTTTCAGCTTCAGGTTTTGCAGAAGCAAATAGTTGGAGCCTGAGTATGTGCAACATAGATATTGGTATTTACAGCCTCTGATATTCCATATATCCATCGCTTGCATAGCCAACTGTTTGTTTCATCATCATTCTTTTATTTGGTAAACTATCCCTCTTCCCTACCCCAAGCATTTATGAGTTCATGAAATAGTGAATTCATTCATTAGTACAATGGAACTCCAATATTCTTCATTAATCCCTTCCTGAGGGGAGGACGAATATTAAAAAGGATGAATACCAAATGAGTTTTTTCCCCATAGGATTTAACTAAAAAATTTTTTAATTCGTCCCAGATGCAAATTTTGCCTATCTATTCTTTAACAAACAAACTAAAAAAAAAAATACTCTCGAAAATCGATTGTTTGCAAATACATTTTAATTATAAATTAACCAGTGTGATGACAACATCAGGATGGAAGAAATGAAGGCATCTGTAGAGAAGATTAAGCTAGGAAAAGCAGAGGATATAAATGTATAACACCAGAGATGGTCCAATCAATTTGAGTCACAAGGGGGCAACTTCTCCAGAAGGTTTTTCAGGCAGCATGGTGTAATAAAAGTGTACCAAAATATTGGAGATCGCCATAATTATACCTGTATTTAAAAAGGATGATAATAGATAATGCAAAACACCACAGAGGCATATCTCTCCTCAGAGTGTTCCTGGTAAAAGTTACTCTAGAATTCTTTAGCAGAGACTGAGAAGTCTGGTATAGCCACAGTTAGATCAGGTCCAATGTGGCTTCAAAGCAAACTGAAGTACTCAAGATCGTATCTTAACACTCAGACAGATGGCTGAAATAAGAATATAAGATTGAGATGTACCTATGTTTTTTGGATCTAGAAAAGGCATTTGAAAAGGTTCCCTGGGGCAGCTCTGGGATTGCTTGGCAGGGAAAAACATTACAGTACTCCTGATCAACACAATGCAGACTTTCTATGAAAGAACAACACATCAAAAATCAGAAGAATTTAAGATCACTAGTGGTGTTAAACAAGGAAATAGTCTCTCACCTTACCTCTTCATTCTTCTGATGGATGATGTCATCAAGACCTCTAAGGAGAAGACAAAGAAGTACTCACTAGGGTACTTTGAGACCTACATGAATATCAGAGCTGGCATTTGCAGACAATGTGGCCCTGATAGCTAAATCAGAGGCACACCTTCCGTCCAACTTACTTGTGTGGAAGGAAGAGCCTGAGAAAAGAGGGATGTCATCAGTATCTTCAAAACTAAAACCATGATGTTCTCAAGAGCGAAGAAGAAATACCAGATCATGATGGGACAATGTTCATTGTAGCAGGTCAGCCAGTTCAGATATCTTGGAGTTGTAATAGACCGGAATGGAGGCATTAAGACAGAGCTGGCAATTCAAAAAGCAGCTGCTTGGAGACTTTTCCAGGCCATAAACCAAGAACTTCTCAGCAAAAGAGAAAATGACAAGAGGACGAAAATGACTGTTTACCACTCCCTGTATGCCAGGCCTGACCTGTGGGTGTGAGTCATAGGTAATGACAACAGCTCACAAAAGTCAGCTTCAGACATCAGAAATGAGATATTTGAAAAAGGTGGTCCAAGTTACAATAAGGAACAAAGTTCACAGTCAGACAATATGTGAGGATCTTGAAACCCAGGCCTTACAAACTAAAGTTTATCAGTCACAGTTACTATGTTTTGGACATGTATGCAGAATGGGAGAGAATCGGCCACCACGGCAGGCATGGGAAGCTAAGAACCAGGGGACCAGACCTCCAGGGTGACCCAGGATGCGCTGGGAAGACAACATCCAACACACCGTGACTGACTGAGGACTGGAATGGAACAAAACCAAATAGAAAACTGCAGACAGAGAAGTCTGGCGATCTTTCTTGCATACCTCTACACCTCAAGGTGGAAGAGAATTGACTAATAAAAAAAAAAAAGTAAAGTAATTGACCACTTATTATTGCTTTATCATTATGACAGAGATTTACTTGTCCTGATGCATAAATATACTGTAGGTCTACATAAATAAAAGTTGAAAAAAATTTTACTTTTTAGATGAAAAGAACAAAGACTATTGTTTGGAAGAGGAGTTACCTTCCATAATAACGTCATGTAATATCACTTCTGGTGATTCTTGTCTTGATAATTTGTCAGCATTTCCAGACAGTTTACAAGCACTGTCGGCTCTGTGGCTAAGTCGATGCGAACGCTTTGTAATGCCGTAATGCCGGGTTCGATCCCAGCTGCGGGCCCTGGGCCTTGCGTTGCTTTCGACAGTGGTATCAAGAAAGCCGACTGTCCAGAAAGCAATGGCAAACTACTGGACGTAAATTTGCCTAGAAAAACCACACAACAGCCAGGGGCTGTTGGGGTTGGTTCTGCAACGTCCTGTAAAGGATACGCAACAAACTTTTACAAGCACTAGTTTTTAAATTTTTGTTTTCCACAGGATTTATCCAATGTTATTTTTTGTTTGTTTTTAAAAATTTTTCAGAAAGTGACCAAACACCTAGTCGTCAAATAAATTCATATGCTTATTAATAATAGTGATGTTTTGGGAGCATTTCTTGATGAAAGCCTGCATTTTTGCCCTCTTGGACAGCAACTCCTTAATTTCAGCAGTTGGAACTGCCCCATAATCTTTCTTTTCCTCATCTGATGACTTGTCGGCCACGCTGGAGGAGGGACGAATACTTACTTTTTGGGCAAGCAAAACTTTCAATGAAAAACAGTACGAAAGTTTAAAAAAAAAAAAAAAAGATGAATTTTGGTGTGGATGAAAATTGGAGTTCCACCGTAAATTTATCTAGTTGATAATGAATCATTTTATTGTTCCTTCATTTGTTCATAGATATCATAAATTCAGTTTCAGATTTGGAAATTTCCTGGCGGACTGTCTGAGCTTGGGGAAAATATTGGTATGTTCTTGTTAATTCTATCTTTCTCTGCATCTTTCTATCTATGTCCACATCTTGTTCTTTCTCTTTTTATTTCTAATTTGTGCTGTCTGTATTTATTTTCTCACTCTGTCTTTTTTGTCTCTAATGATCTAATTTTCTATCTCTTTTTTCTTCTCTCTCACTCTGTCTTTCTTTCATCATCTCTTGTTATATTTTTCTGTTTGTTTATGTGTCTCTTTTTCTCTTTGCCACTCTTTTTCTTTAAATGTTTACTATTTTTTTTAGTTTGATTTGTCTCTTTTAGTAATATTGTCAAGAGATCAAACATGAACCTTTACCGGCCTCAACTTTTGTGTATTAATATACTGTTTCAGTTGAGACAGCCGAGCGGGAAGTGTACGAAGAAACAGGTCTGAAGACAGGTAACAAAAAATGTCATGTGATTGTATTGTTTGTAATTTATAGTTTTTATTTGTTTTAATTAAAAAAATATTTGTTGAGGTTTACTTGTATAAATAATATTGCTTATAGACATTCACATAAATATACTTGTTTGTTCAATATGCAAACAATACTGTCGACCCTCACATACATATACTACTGTAGATTCAGCTGCTTCATGCCCTCACCTGCAAAAAACATAATATGTTACCCACATATGTACTACCTGCTTGTTATTCTCTGTCTCCAGAGTTCCAGTCAGTCCTTGCCTTTAGACAACATCATCATATGCCTGGTGCTTTTGGCCGATCTGACTTGTATGTTCTCTGCAGGTTTGTACTCTCTTTTACTATTAGCAGTCTCCATGTAGGTTCCAAGGCCCCATTTTGGGGATCTTCTTTACACGTGCACATGCACACACACACACACGCATGCACACATATACATACATATAAATGTATAATTACCCACTCAACTCTTTGAGGACGCTTTGCCAATATATCGGTGCGACAATCTGCACCGTTTAATTTCTGACTTCTTTTAAATTGAATCGGATTGATACAATTTGTGTGTGATTTTCATGAATTGGCAGCTTTCAACCCTTCAACATCCACTGTAGATACAACTCAAAGAATGACCCAAACTATGGATTTAGTTTTTATGCAGCATTTGTTCAAAGTTGATAGTAATTCTAGCCTGTCTGGTGATGACTTAGATTCCCAGTTTTTTTATAATGAGGACGCTGATCATGAATATCAACCTACTGCTGCAAAAAATGCCACACCAAATGGTGTCTTGAACTGTTGGCACTGCTGCTGTACATATCGGAGCCATATAGTGACAGTAATGGTTTTGACATTATGATTAATAATACAAGTGCAGCACTTATTGCCGACAATATGGGTTGGACTGAAGTCGAGCAAATGTGTCAGTTTTAGTCGGATCGTCCCTGTTGGGATAGCTGTGTCTGGAATCAAGCACCACTGAGTGAAAACTCAACACCACTGGACTGCTTACTCACACTCTAACAACATATATAATTGACAGTCTTGTTGAAAAACATTAATCTGTATGCCGTGGACACAAATAAAGAAACAGACACCATTGAGACAATTTCTTTGTCTGATTGGCAGCCAGTGACCACAGGGCATTTTTTTTCCAGTTTCTCAGTGTCGTCATAGCAGTGAAAGTTACAGTGAAATACAACAAAGATTACTCGTCTACAGTGCACCATAAATTCACACCATGTTTCAAGGTAATGTTGCCAAGAACAAAGTTCTTGCAAGTCTGCCGGTCAATGCTGCATACATCACAAGGCCAAAGATTGAGCCATTTGGGAATCATCTGGGAGCACAGTTTCGGTCTACATTTTAACCCTATGAAAACCTTTCTGTTGATGAGTTGGTGATTGGCTTCAAGTTCAGGTTTCCTGCAAAACAATACATTGCATCCGAGTCTAACAAGTATCATATAAAGACATTTTGTCTTTGTGATTCAATCACTGGCTATGTTTACAGTCTACTGATTTACTTCAGAGCAGAAACTGCTTACAGCCCTAGTTAGGTCAGTGGCGCGTCAGGCATATGATGCTAAACTTTTTTTAAAAAACATTTTTTATGTGTGTGTAGACTAATTTGGACTTATCAGGACATTATCTGATACCTTTTAGGCTGAGGAGTGAAGGTAGGTTAAAAAAAAACACACCTCGATTTAGACTTTTCTTCTTCTTCTTAACATTCACTGGCTGTAAACTCTGGCTGAAAGTTTTGGTTGTTCTTCCACTTCTAGTCGCCATGGCAGAGCAATTCGACGCTCGCCGCGGATCAGAAGGTCGTGGGGTTGCTCCCTGGTGTAGCCAGACTTTTAAAAAAAAATGACCTTGGCTTCCAGGTCGACCCAGCCTTGAGTGGGTACTGGGTGTAGTCCCAGGAAATAAAGGCGGCCGACATGATGCTGACCACATCACCCATCTTGTGTCGATTGGTCTATAAAATATAGGTCTAGCCCTATATGCCCTATACGCCTAAAGGCGTAGAAAAGGGTTCTTTACTTTTTTTTACTTACTTCCACTTCTGGACTTTGGTCTTATTCTAGAGCAGCAATTCTTAACCTGTGGGTCGCGACCCTTTTGTGGGCGAACAACCCTTTCACAGGTGTCACCTAAGACCATCGGAAGACACACATATTCATTGAAATTGTGAAGTAGCAACAAAAATAATTGTATGTTTATGGGTCGCAACAGCTAGAGGAGCTGATTTAAGGGTCGCCGCATTAAGGAGGTTGAAAACCACAGCTCTAGAGCTTGAGTTTTGTTTGCAGATGTGGCTTATTTATGTGCAGACTGTTGGTTCCTCACCTCTTAGTCAAATGCACTATGACTTCAAAAGAATAACTCCTAATTAGTCACCTCTTATATTATGCTTATTAGGGGCAGTTGATCTATTCCCCGAACCGCCCTTTCTTTTTAACACACACGCACAGGCACCCACACACACGCACACACACACACACACAATATGGGGGCCCTGGAATTCACACAGGTAGATCGAACCCAGTACTTTCAGGTAAGTCCCTGGCTACTACACTAGCACAACTGCCGGTGCTGTATAGGGATCTTTATCACGTCAGGGATTGGGGTGCACTTGTAATACATCTTGTGATAGTTTCATTAAACAATGCCTTGTCTGTGATGCTACAGGCTGAAACCCCTGACTTTTGAACTCCGCCTCTGTGAGAAAGAAATAGCCGCTTGCAAGTGGATGCCTGTACAGGAGCTTAAGTCTGAAGTTAACGCCTCATCCTTGACCCACAAATTGGCTGAGCTGGTTTTATACGGACTGAAAAACGGGTTTGAACATGTAGATATAATTTACCTGGAGATGGCTTCGTTACACAAGGGATTGAAATTTCATTTATTCCATCGACCTATACAGTGAGCTGCAAGTTATAAATACAGATTTCTGTTTTCATAAATCACCCAGCATTCTATTTGTGTCAGTCTATCTACCGTAAATTGTAATGTACAAGTCAACCCGGTGTGAAAGTCAGCATCATCAAGATTTTTAGCTCAAGATATTTAGTTAGGCCTAGACTTGTCTAACATATTTTATAAGTCAACCCCTTGTTTTATAAAGATTCTTTTAGGCTTGAAAACTTTGCCGCAATTTACAGGAATACATATTTATATGCAGAATGTATTCTCTCACATATTATGCCTCAAAGATGTGGTTTTACAGAAGAATGCTTGAAATTTCTTGGACGGCCAAGAGAAGTAATCTAGATACAGTGATACCTCAGTAAATAAATTTAATCCACGGCTGATCCTTGAGTGTATGTTATGTTGTGTTATTTTATCACACTCGATGTCACTGTACATTGGGCATTCCCATGTGTGCTCAGTCCTCCAATGCAGCAATCACTCCAAGGTTGCTTGCCTATGCTAGTGCTCTAGAAGCAGCGGCTATCTCATTAGTCATGCTTGATATAGTTGCCTGGTAAGCGCCGCTGTTCTCTTGAATTCTTTTCCCCATCCGCTGTGCTGTGTATGCCCATGCTGATGTTGATCCGGGCTTGACGGATCCATCTGTGTAGATGATGATGTCTTCTGGGTGTTAATGCTGATCTATCTGATCCCTGCAGTACCTTCTGAGTGTGTGACAACCTTAGTTAGAGATGTCATGCATGTTTACTGGTGTATTGGTCCATTCTTTTCTGTGACTGACCTCGTCTAGGTCACATACATGCTGGCTGGATTAAATCTTCATCCTTGGCCATCCAGGAGCGGTCTCTTTCGAGGTGCAATCCTTTTGTGTTGTGTATAGCTTTGTACAGTGGGTGGTTAATGTCTGCCGATACCCTCATGTACACCTTGACCTGTACAACTTTGTGTCTGTTAGCCATCGTCGGCAAACCCAAAACATATTGTACATGGCAGAAGGTTCCTTTGTGCAGCCGAGTACGAGTCTTATAGCCTTATTTTATACTCTGTCCAGTCTTTCTGGCTGGGTTCTGCTGAGAGTGAGGAGGCTTAGACCATAGTCAGTGACGCTTAACACAAGCCTTGATATCGAAGGAACAGTAGGCATTGTTCAATATCAGCTGCTGCTAGCAGCTTGAGTGCCGTGAGACATTTCCTGGCTCTGACTATGCGTTGTCTACATGATACCTGTATGATAAGCATCTGTCAAATGTCGTGCTCAGGTATTTTATCATATCTTTAATATCGATGTCCACATGCTTACGACGGGCGTTGGTATGCTGACAATGTGGGTATTTAAAGAGAATCATGTTAAAAAGATTTTAACAGTTCACTTGTGCTCTCAGTTCCTGTCAACACTCTTTGAGTCTGTTTTCGACACCTGACTAGGATTTCTTGGCCTAGGTGTTTGCTGTTGTAGTAAGTTTGAAAGCCGGAGACATTCAGAGCTTCCTCCATATTCAGCCGGGTCTCCTGAAGTTCGATCATATTGGCATCATATATCAGTTTCTCAAAGACTGAAACTGTATGGAAAGCTCTGGAAGTTCCAGCATAGAATTCGGATGGAGACAACTCTTGCCAAGGCATTCTGACTCAGATTGGCTTTGGTGTCTATTTCGTCATTTTCTACCATATTGTCCACTCCTCCTTCTGTGCCTTGTAGATGCTGTTGTATCGAATCGCAGCATGGACACACAAACTCTGTAGCTCCAGCGAGGATCGAGTTGATCAAAGTTGTCCACCATATTTAACTATACAGTAGTAAGGGTTTATTAACGGTGACCTGAGTGGTGCCCTCATGCTGGGGAAGGGACCAGGGACTTAACGCCCATCATCAAGGTGTTGCCTCTATACGACCTGCCTGCCTTTGTTAATAATTGTGCACCCCACAGCCATGCAGAGTTGAAGGAGACACCTTAAACTTGGTTTCTGGACTACTGACTCCCTACATGCCGACATGAGTGTGTGTTATTGGTATATAACAGTAATCCTGTTTCTGTCATCTACAATTAGTCTTATGTTTAAGCATACATTTGTGAATAAAGTAATATTTTTATGCAAGTATTCATACATACACTTACACTAGTAAGAATTGTGACAACAGTTAATAATTAACAGCTCACAGGTACTCCCACATCAAAGCAGAGGGAGAGAGAGAGAGGCACACATACATACCAAAAAAGAAATAGAGAGAGAGAGAGAGATAAAAACAAATTTTCCCATAAAAAATAAAGGGAGAATGATTAGTCCACTGCCTTGAAAAAAAGTCATATTGTTATTGGCATATTACACATTGATGGTTGAAAGTTTTCATGTCTAAACAGGGCATATACCCAGTTGAACATATACCAAAGTGGACTTATACCGAAGTACCACTGTATTTTTGAAGAGACTAAGACACAAAGAGAAGTTATGACAAACATCCAAAAGGCAGTCAATATTTTTGTATTACATTACAAGAAAAAAACAAAACAATTTGAGATAACTAGAAAGATTTAAAGAAAGAGGGAGAAGCTTAATTACCAATGCCTTTTGAGAAGGCACATGATTGTGATGATATGAGATGTTATGAAATGTTTTTGAAATTCCCGCTGTCAGATTTTTGTTGGCACCTTTTCGTTTTTCCAGATGATAGTGTTATATTTGCTGTAACTTATCACGAACTCGCCCACATAACAAGAGTGTCTTTTCTTCCCGTTCAAGCAGCAGTGGGTCGCACAGCCTGTCCTCTGTTGTGGGAGTGTTTTGAGATAGCTTTGTTTGACGTTCGTTCGCTGTGTATAATTAATTTTTGTGGGAGGTTGTGTTGTGTTTATTATGAAAAATCGTCCAGGATTACAGCATGAGATTCTTAAGGACCATTGTTGCCACAGTATGTTTTTAACATGCCTTTTCTTAGTTCTTAACCTATCTGCAGTCATTTTCTCCTTTATCCCTTTTCCCTTCTTAATTTGTCCACTTCGTGCAGCATAGCATCCTTTTTTCTTTCTTCGAATCCACCTCAATACTTATATCATTTATGTTCCACTTGCACACATTTATATTGTAGTAGAGAGTGACCTCAACATCTTCTAACCATCTGTGAATTATCATAGAGGATGTCCTTAGGGACTACCATTCTCCATGTGTGTTCTGGCTTTCATGTTAAACTTGTAATCACTTCCCAAATACAGAATATAATACCGTGTAATCTACTTCTGCTGCCCTTTAACCCCCTATCCTATAGAGTAAATTGCATAAGGTGTCCCAGAAACCACCATCTCATGTTGCTCACTGAGTGTTTTACTCATCTTTTTCACTTTTCTCCTTAATTCTCTTCTTTATGTGTACTTAGGTCACTGGGTTCCAGTGCAAGGATATTGTTTCTGTATTATTATCCTGTTTCCTCGTTGTGTGCCATATTCAACGCCAACCTCCTTTCCCCATCTCTCTGTACACTGAAATTTCTTATCACCAATGAAGTTATATGCTGTAAATAGTACTAAAAACAATCATTATGGTGCAAAATTGAATTGAAAAGTACTGTGTACTGTTTCTCCATTAAACTTGTCTTTTTACACAAATATGATTGCTGAGCTGAGTTGCAGGTTGCTTGGCAAGTCTGAATAGGTGTCTGAGTTTGTGGTTCAGAAAAGGTTGAGAAGCACTGTTTTATATGACACTAGCTGTACCCGGCCATGTGTTGCTGTGGCCCAGAATGGTGAAATGGAGAGGAAAGAAAATAGCTCTCAGCTAACAGTGTCTGTCATATCCCCCCCCCCCCTCCTCTCCCCTCGACCCAGTCGTATCTCCCTCTCCTAAGGATTGAAAAATATCCATGGCGAAATTATTAAAATAGAAATAGTTAAGAAATGAGAACTTTAAAATAATATCTTAAGCTCTCTCAGCTAACTGTGTCTGGCATAACCACCCCCCTCCCCTCCCCCAATCATATCATCCTCTCAGAAGGATAGGAAAGTCACCGTGTGACAAAATATTGTAACTAAATTGAGCTTGGCATCCCTGTCCACCCAGACTTAAATAGGTAGCATTAACTTGTACAGAGAAGTAAATGTAGCCAGTGAAACAGCTACCACATCACCCATCCAGTACCAGTACTACTGCAACCACTACCACCACCAACAGCAACAACAACAACAACAAAAACTTGGTGTAGAAAAGAGGAGTTAGCGCCGCTTGCTGTCGACATGGACTATTTAGTTTAATGTTGCCCCCGACATAGAAATAAAAAAAAAAAACTTCATCACGTAACCAATGATGGAACCCACAGTAAAAAGTACACTATACTTACGAACAGCGGAGATAAATACCCCGCACCCGTTATCTCTCCCTCTCCGAAGGAGCGATTTTTAACTGACCTTGGCATCCGTGTCCACCCAAACTAAACTGGACTGTAAGCAGTCTTAGGTAACAGTTTCTGTCATCGCCGAATAGTTTTTGATTGAGAAGTGTCGCGGGGAGGCTAATTGTGACTTAACTGAAATCTGATGTCTTTGGGCGAAAGACGCAGATATCGCAGCCTAGCTGTAACCCATAACACAACGTGGCAAGCACCCTTTTAAGGGAAAAAGAACAATTATCACCCAGTGGGGAATCGAACAGCGGTCACCTGCGTGAAGGATGGAATACTTAAAACTAAACTACCAAAGACTGAAGAGTTGAGGTCAGGTATCGCAGCCTAGCTGTAAACCACAACACAACGTGCCAACAGCCCTCTCGAGGGCGAACGAAGAATACCCGCAACTAAAAAGAAATCCTGGCCGGCAACGAAACAAATAATGATTTGACCGTTGCTGGAGCTACGTCGTTCGGGGTTTGTGCGATTTTCTGACAAAAAATCACGCTCAGAGTCGAAGGCAACGTTGTGTGCACCTTTGAAAGCGATCGGTTCAGTAATTTCCGAGTTTAGGGATAACAACATCGGAAAATTAAGATTTTTATAAATATTGATTAGCCTGA